GTGTGGGTGTTTATTTGTAATGCGATTTGTTTGACCGTCTTCCTTATTCTTTATCTTTGCTTATTGCACTTTGCAGATTAAAATACCGTAATTTATAATCCATACCTTGTTGCAAATTAAATTTTTTGAACTTCAATAGTACCATTGAATAAAGCTCTTTATTCAATGATAGTACCTATTACATATTATTAGTATTAGTTTAGTCAGTTTAGTGTAATGTGTAATAATTGACCTATACAGGGTGATTCAAATTCAAAGGCCACCATGGGGATCTCGGGAACTGTAAGAGATAGGTAGTTTACATTTGACAAAGTTACCCTTGATGGTAACATCATCTAGTTTTAATAAGAAATAACGTTAATTCGTAAAAACGCAAGAAACTACTTACGTACGTTACTTAAGACAAAGGCAAAAAAGATGTTTTACAAGCATTAAAAACATTGATGTGTACATTTTTGAAATCAGAAAAAAATTCTCTATCAAATCACACAAAAAGTAAAAATTACTTCCATAAGAAACAAAGTTGATGATAGTTAACCGGAGACGAAACGTCAAACTTCAAATTTAAAAGTAGCATCTTGTAGAGGGAAAAAAGTGGCCATAATAATGTGTCATTTATTATTAAATATCTTTGTAAATAACTATTAACTTCAGTAAAAAACAAAAACGATTTTCAAAATCTCGTTTTTTCCGGATATCTCCGAAAGTAGTCAGAATTTCAGTTTCAAAACTGTTTTTGTTAAGCATCAAAATACACAACTTTGCCAAATTTACCACCTACCTATCTCTTACATTTCCCGAGATTCCCATGGTGGCCCTCGAATTCGAATCAGCCTGTCAATTACTAATTTACAAAAGACCATCCCTCGAATGTAAGACATTGGGTACAAATGTATATTTAGGTATAAACGGCTAAAAAATTAAAAAAAAAATCAGTATACCGTATGTCCCCGGATTGACTTTACAAGAAGAAAAACTTTTACTATACTTTTTGACAAAAATCCATTCTCCATAAAAGCTTTTGCTTGTTCTAATTCGAAATGTCCCTACCGTTTCAGAGAAAAATATTTAAAAAAAACGAAAATATGGTTGAACTGGTCCTAAAAGTCAAAACGCGTCTTTACTGTAATAACATTTCGTTAGTTACAAAGTCTTCGTTACCTGTTATTTGAATAGGCACTAGGATCGTTATAACTTATAAGTATAACAAACACACTTCGTAATGACATTGAATTTCATTAAGTGAAGGAATCAAGAGTTTTACTGAGGGTCCTCCCAAACAAAAAGCCCCTGTCGCCACTTGTGAACCAATTTTACGACCTTAATTTTGAAAGTCCCCCATGCCAATAATTACGCGATTTTTACTTCATAAGTTACGTTACAAGCGGTTCATTATTCTCCTCAAGTTATGTGCGGTAGAGAGCTAATTATAATTTTGTTAACCTAGCAGTCTGTAAGGAGCCGTGAACGACCTTGCGTTTGTGTTTTGTATCTTCTTGTCGTGTGGTTATGCAAATCAAATTGCATTTTTTTAAAGCACCCTCTGTGTTGTTTGGGGCCCACTTAAAGAGAGTATAATGATTTAAATATTTGTACAGAAAACTGCTGTAGTTACGCTATTCATTATTAGGTACCAGCACATTCTAACGAAAAAAACTTTGTCCTTTACTATGGGTACTTCTCTTTTCAGGCAATCCCAGCCTTAATCATTTTTTCACAATACGCTGAATCAAAGATTTCCACAGTGAATTTATGTTTATGATGAGCTAAGTAATGTAATATATGCCTACCTATTAGAATGACTGCAATACTATCCCTACGCCCTAGACTTCAAAAACAACTAAAGAACAAAAGCTCATTGAAATAAATAAATGGTTGCGAGGCTATTTTAACAAGTTTTGCCACGCTTTTTAAATAATACGGGTCAACAAATTAGGACGTATAGGAGCGAAAATGTATGTTAGTCTTTAGTTAAAGTATCTTTTTAGCGCATTTTACAGCAGGGATTTCTTTTGGCCTCTTTTGTTAACAAAATGTATTTCTCCAACCTTTATTAATAGGACACCCTGTACAGCTTGTATCACTAAACGTCTTTTTATACTCGTCGCCACTATAATATTTTCTGTTATTGCGGAACACTAATGCATTTTACGTTTATTGCCGGGCTCCTAAGCGAGTTTATGATTTGGGACTTTCTATCCGTCCGCCTGTGTACATAATGTTTCAAATTGTCCAAATCTATTTTCAGTATTATGTTTATCATCACCCAAAGAAGAACGGATTAAAATTTCAATGAACCAAAAAGCTTGTTTGGCATATTTGTTACAATTACATTGTTGTAGTGTAAACGACGCCATGTAGACTAAGCACTAAAGATAATAACGGGAAAACCGGGTCTAACTTAGCGTTTTCAAAAGTTATTTCCGGAAGTGCGTCCATTTTGAAAATATTTTACGATTCGGCCTTCGGAGTAACTCCTAAATACAAATTTTTAAAAACCTACCTATTTTACTTTCCCAGAATCGTTTAACTAATGCTCCCCAAAAAACACCCTGTATAGTGTTTCTGAAACACTATAATGGCGCCATTTTAGCGCATGATGAAAGGTACGATGTAGTAAAAAAAACATGTTAAAAAACGTAACTTTTGAAAACGTTAAGTTAGCCCCCCCTACTTTTTAAAATTTTTTTATGGCTTAACCGTAATGGCGCTAGCTTTAATTCAAGTGGCGCAATTGAGCTCATAACCAGATGTATCAAGTGGCACAAATACCGGTAGCAAAATGCGTTATGGGGGATTCCGTTCACTTGCCCCCCCCAATATATTTAAGGATATCCAAAAAACAATAATGGCGCAAAGATATCTTTTTACGGCGCATTTCAGCGCATACCTGAGAGTACAATTTCGTATGAAAAGATGTTAAAAAAAAGTAACTTTTAAAAACGTTAAGTTGGCCCCCCCACTTTTTGAAAATTTGTCACGGCTTAACCGTAATGGCGCTAGCTTTAATTCAAGTGGCGCAATTGAGCGCATAACCAAATGTATCAGGTGACCTAGTTACAAGGGACAAAATACGTACGGGGGGGGGGGGGGCTACGTTCACTTGGCCCCCCCAAATGTTTTTTCGGATTTCTAAAAAACGATAATGGCGCAAGAGTTACTATCGGTGGCGCATATGAGCGCATAACGAGCGCATTCATTTCAAAATAATACGACTATGAAATCTCTCAGTGGGGGGGCCAAGTTAACGGACCCGGGAAAACCTTGCATATGAAAATATTTAGTCTGGCGGATTATTTACGAAATAAGCACATAATTGGTTCGTTTTATTTGAATTTGTATCTCAGTGTCGATTTTCCTTTTAGAGATTTTGTAAATGCGTAATTTTTTTTTAATTTTATTGCTTTTGTAATTTATTCAATTTAGATAAGGTCTTACAAGTAAGACACATCTGGTCGTTGCTATAAGGAGTGATCAGGCGAAAATTAATCCACGAGCGTGTTTTGATAAAGAAGAGATAATGTGTTGCAAAGAATTGCGCGTTTCATTTTGGCGAAGTGGTGACGTTTGGCACGTTCCGTCGTTGATTGGAAATTTATTTGGAATTTTTTTTAAGAACGGAAAAAGTTTTGTCATGTTGAAAATGGAAGCAGCGAGACCTTGTGTTAAGGTTTTCTTCTTATTAAAAGTTAAAGGTTTCTACCGTCCGAACACTCACCGAAAACTTGTTCAATTTATTCAACAAGTCAGATTTTGTCATAAAGTTCGGTGTTATCAAGTGAAGTTCAAAAGTTGTAAGCGTTTGTGTGAGATAAGTGCGCCTTATATCGCAAACCTTGTACGACTATTTAAAAAAACTGTAAATTTTAATATTTTATTTGTCGACCGTTTGCGGGCGGGGTAATATGTCCAAATAAACATTCAGCCCTGTGATGTATCAGAAACGTCAAACTTAACGTGCAGGTTATCTGTCAAAAATATCATTTTGCCCAAACTAAATAACGCAAAATAACGTTTTTCGGCAATATACGTTTGTGATACATCACAAGGCTGTTTGTAAGCTTTTCTTTCTTTCGGGGATTTTGTTTTATGTGTTTCGGAATAAATTTTTGTCATTCTAAATCTATTAATTGGGTTTATTCGAATCCATTGTGCGACCCAGATAGGGTTTTCATATCAAATTTTTCTTTTCGTGCCCAAGAATTATGTTAGGTATTAATGAAATGTTGTGTAGTTAATTTTTTGAAGTTTTTGGGAGCTCGATCGAAGCTAATGGGTCTCCCAAATTATTAATGTAAAGTCAGTACTGAGATTTTTCATTTTGACAGCTACGTGGAAAACAATTACAGTTCTAAATTTAAAAGTTGTGTTATTTGGAACACACAGCAACATATTTGACAATTAACGAAATTGTAATATCTAACACAACTTCTGTGTCTCGATTTCTATAAGTTATTACATCTTGTCCCATTAATCTGCTCCTGCAAGTTATGAATGATCCCATCCTAACTTATCGTCCGATTATCTTCGCCAGCAAAAGCTCAGTTTGAATGTGACTCTTTGACCTAATGTAGTTAATTATCCATTTCTACATTTGTCATTGAAAGTACTCTAAAGTGTTGTGGAGGTACGATCAGAAGTCAGCCAGCCTACACGTTATTTTAATGAAAAGTAAAAGGCCCTCATTTCGTCAATACGAAATCATGGGCTCGCTGGGTTTTGGCTGGTGGAAAGTAGGATTTCTGCATCACATCTAAACCAATAAACTTAAGAGCTGGCCTTTGGGGTGAGGGTGAAGCAACCAATTGTGCTGCTGCACAAAGTAAAAGTTTGTTCTGTTTTAATTGTAAAAATTAAATACACGCCCTCTACCGCAACTTCCTGAGATACGTTTGTACATCTTCGCATCGCAACCAGCAGCCCAAGAAACCATAGAGGTAACCGAATCATCAGACGAACGTTCACAGTTAAATAGACAATGGCAGTTATAATTGATGACGAAAGATGCAAATAATTTTACTTAATATGGGTATACAAAGACAATCAAAAAATAAACACGAACTGTGTGAACCAGTTGGTTAGAGCAGCTCGCGGGTGCTCTTACATGGTGTTCACTCACCGACCGCGGACTTCTTCGTTTAATCATGCCCTCTCTGTCACAATCCTGTAATATTTCCTGCACTATCCTTGACACGTCAGAAAGTTGGCGTGCTTTTGACAATTTCGAAGCGTGTGGACCTACGTATATCGATTACGCATGAGAAGATTCTGAGAATGTCTTACCAATGGCAAAAAGAGGAAGGCTGTCTCCGTCAAGGCTCGACGTACAGTCCCCAGTGACAACAACTAAGGTACGCTCGCAATGGGTCGTTTCGCGTACATGCTTAAGTGTCTGCATAAGATCGGAGTATGGATCTGTAATGCTGGAAAGGTTGCCACCATTGACTACGAGTAAAAATCTTCCGTTATTGTCACGCTTCATCTGCTCCCAAACTTCGCGCAAGGTTTTACTGACCAATCGCAGTAGGGTGTACTCTTGCACGCTGCCTTGCCCATTTAAATCACTGGTATCTAACAAGTTAACGCATTAGATCAACTGAAAATCTGTTGACATGAACCTTCGGAAGTATTCAGCAAGCTTTTGAAGGAAGACATAATCATCGATATCCAATCCGGAATTTCCCACACCGGTGTAGAACTATTCCTTTCTTGAGTTTCGACAGAAAACGTTTGGTACTGTTCGGGATAAAGACCGGCAGTTCGCTGTGCACGTCTGAGATTAATTATATTCTTGGGCAGGGGATTATGTTGGTGAAAATTTAGTTTCGGCTCGTATGGATAAGCGTTAATCACAACGGTATCGTCAGTATCGTCCTCCTGCTTGTTGTCCACCATGAGCTCAGGCAGGTGGTCCTCATTCACCATTTTGTTCGTTATTCGTACTTTCGAATTGTAGAACGTAAAGCCGCCCTCACGATTATCCACGTTTAGCGAAATTGTCGCTGTGATGGTCGTGGTAATAGGCAGTGTGCAGTATGCTTAACTTACCGACTGTCATTCGTAGGGTATCCCTTGCCCATGCTAGTAACGAAGAAATTTTTCTTGCTAATGTATCTTCGCAGTTGCACGGCCGCACGTAGGGGCCTCTTAATTTCATGTGTCGTGAACTTACCCGCGGCTGTGTAAGGTATGGCTGAAAAGGCTTGAAAGATGTTATATGATGCGAGGTTATTGGTACCTGTATATTGGCCACTTTAGAAATATTTAGGTAAGGAATGCGATCTATACTTTGACAGGTGGTGTACGCGTGAGCAAAAAATAGAACGACGCTGATATTTTCTTCAACTTCTCCCTTGATTGGGCTCTCTAAAATTTAGCGCACAGTTCTTTCGAAATTCTGCTTAGCTACTTACGGATTTTCCATGAGCCAACCAACCGAAGGACGATTAAAAATGAAGCCAAAATGCCTAACATGTTTGTGCCCTGTCAAAATGTAAAAATAAACAAACGGTAGTGGTTTTGTTATCATTAATCCAGAAAACGTGGACTGTATTAGTTTAAAATTGTCTTCAAATTTGCCATCAGTCGCGTCTGACACAAATAAACCCAATAAAGCAGAGGGAGAGTGTCCCTCAATGAGGTAACCGAACCTCAACACACCAAACCACGAGAGCGCATTTCTGGGACGGAACAGGACTGTGACTGTGGCCTACATTTTTGTACATTATTATTTATTGCATAAAAATGCGTTCTTAGTTATATAAGGGATGAATAGTTTAATTTAATTCATGCTTTCGTTCTTTTTTTGTATCTTTATAACTTTATATCGGAATCACTTAAGTTAGTTACCTTTTTAGCGCATTTCCACAAAAATAAAAAAAAATGCGCTATTGTGGCCACTTTGTCCGTCCGTCCGTCCGTCCGTCCGTCCGCTAACTTTGCGACGCTACTAGTTTTTATCTTAAGAGCTATTGTTCTACTTTTTTCGCTATTTGGTTCGTTATGGTGTCGAGTCTTGTACCAAGGAAGGAATTTTTTCTGTACCGCTTACAAAAAAAAGTTATTGTAAAAAAAAACAAAAAACCGTTTTTTACATGTTCCATAATTTTACCCTTTTGCCGTTTATTAACGATCCTAGAGATCATTTATAATTTTGCATTGCTATCTGTCGCCTGCCGGTTGGTCTCTCCGTCTGTTCCTTTGTCTGTCTGTCCATCTATCTGTCCGTGTGAACGATAACTTTGTTTAGAAATGTCCGATCGCTTTTACATCTCCGTTAGTTATTAACTGAATTGCATGAAATTCAATATGGGCATAGCTTTAACCATATAATACGCAATGCCAAAAGTTGGGTCGAATCGATTCAAAATTCACAGTGCCCTTTTCGCATCTCGACCATTTATAAACCGAATTGCAAACTTTTTTACTTATAAAAGTATTTGAATGAAATTTGATACATGGGCACTTGGAATAAAGGAAAATCAAACGCCAATTTCAAAATTTGGTTTTGCGCATGCGCAGTGCCAACTTTTTTATTTATGGAAGAATTTTAACGAAATTTGATACAGAAGCACTTCGAATAAAGGAAAATCAAACGCCAATTTCAAAATTTGGTTTTGCGCATGCGCAGTGCCAACTTTTTTATTTATGAAAGAATTTAAACGAAATTTGATACATAGGCACTTGAAATAAAGGAAAATCTAGCGCCAGTTTCAAAATTTTATTTTGCGCATGCGCAGTGCCAACTTTTTATCTATGGAAGCATTTAAGTGAAATTTGATACTTAGGCGCTTGGAACAAAGGAAAATCTAACATTAGTTTCAAAATTTAGGTTTGCGCATGCGCAGTTTCAACTTTCTTATTTAGAAAAGCATTGAAATGAAATTCTTCTCATAAACTGAAATTGAAGTAGCACGTCAACAATGGATTGCCCATGTGCAACGCTATCTTTCATATTTGTGGGCGCATTTTTACGATTTTAACAGAAGTTGCATCTTACAAATGGGAAATGAATGCAAGTGGAAATGCGCTTTATGTAAATCGTTTACGATTACTTTTTAACTTGTTTTCTTATTTTTTTTTAGTTTTAGTTCATATGTGTGTACACTATTTACTATAATGCTAGTATGTCTTTGTCCTATAATTGGATTGTATTCTGTAGGAAAATAAACTATATTGTTGTTATTATTATTAGTAGAAGAGGAAGAAGGTCAGGCTGGCCTAAATGACCCATCCCTGACCCAGAGGCTGGCTCCTAGTGCTAACTCCGGTCAGGCGGGTAGCCGGAGAGAAAAAGAGACAGAGGTCGGATGACTCAACACCGACCCAACCCCCGACGAAGAAGGGCAGATCACCATCCCCAACCAAAGGCGGGGGTCAGTAAGGCTGGAGTACCGGGCAGTAGCTACAAGCACGCTGCTGAAAAATCGTGATGGGTCGCAGGTTTCAGAACGGGGGGCCGCATGTGACCCGGGGGCCACGTGTTTGACATGCCTGACTTACACTGTAAACAACTCAATACATCCAACCCCAACACAGGCAAAGGTGGAACATGATATTAGATTGTCGCCATGGTGCGAGAAAAGCCTTCAAAGGAGCACAGGGGTATCAAGAAAGAACCTGAGGTTACTCGTGGCACTGCAAGCTAAACAAACATTCAAATTTGTTTAGCACCTTCAGAAAATTGAGCAAAATTTATTAAGGTTTTGTTAATATTATGTTTTGATATCGTTGAAAACATATGGACGCCAACGCATTCTCGAAAATTACATTTTTCGGTTTTTTGGCCATAACTTCGCTATTTGTAGACCTACAAGAGACTTTGAAAGGGAAAATTAATCACAATACAATTCTGCATAGCTTTGCCCATTTAACCAGCTTTGTACCGCTAGCGAATCCGCATAGTGAAAATGAAAAGAAACTCACCCTGTAATCATTTTAATAAATACGTTTGCAGTAGCATTTTATTATTATTATCCTTAAGTTCATGGATGGTTTAAATAACGTTGACGGTTCGGACGACTTTAGGGAGGCCCGACTTTGATACCTAGGTACTCGAGGACCCTCTGTCCGCACTCCTATGTCGTAATTCAGATGCAGATCCATTTCCATCAGTCGCAGTAGCGTTGTAAATAGAGAAAATCTACGACTTGTCCATAGTATACAGCAGCTGATAATACGCTTTAACCACCTATACGAGTGCCACGGCTTTACCACTAGTTCGTAATTCTACCAAACAATAGACCATTGAATAAAATAGTGTTTTTATTCAATGGTTTAACGAACAATTTTCTCACAATTTTCATCGACAACCTAAAATGGATGTGGTTTTGTAATATTGTAATGTTTTTCGAAAATCTATTTAGGTAAGGAAGGAAGCGTTTTATTGACTCATGCAGTTGAAGGTTAGTTGGGTACATTTGCGTAAACGAGAAGCCATAAATTTGACTGTTTAACGGATTTGGTATTTCCAAGCAGTGTTTATACGTGCAAAATTTTGAAATATTTTTCTTGATTACACAATGATTACAAGCGAACGCGTCAATTAAATTGCACACCACAAAATAATACGTGTATCCTAATTTTGCAATTACAAAATATACTCCTCTTCCTATAATTAGCGGTCGTAATAGTATACATATCTAGAACGAATTGAAGAATGAAATTGAAAAAAATAAGCGCGCGGGGAATAAAATGAGCTTGGAAAGTTGTTTATATTAAATTATTAACTTATGCCTTAAGAGTGAAAGTAGAAGGAGTAATGCAAGAAGTCGTTAAAATCGAAACGAGTTTATCCAGATGTGACCATAAACAACAATTTTTCATAAAACAGAAAGGAAGAAAATGACTCTTCATTCCAAATTGTCACACTAATAATTACACACAAATATGCACCTTAACGCGGAATTATGTAACCTTGAAATGGAGACCTAATTAAATATTTACAACTTAAATATGAATTAATTTAAACTCTTGTCAAAATTACACACGTTATTGAGTCATAACCCGCGGCCGGATTACGAAAAAGTTGCGAATATCAGGATCTTGTCTGACCGTGACCTTAAGGCAACTTTTGCCGAATATTACCGTAACAGATTTAGAGGTTACTAGTAAATTACTCGATCAAAAATTCCAAAATTCTAGAGGTTGCGGAAAAAGAAAGTGGAAAAAGCAAACTCGCCAATCGATAAATTCCTACCGCTTGACGTAGAAATTGCCTCGCAGAGGTGTTGGAATTCTATAATATGAAATTGCCTTGTAATTGACGGAAAACTTGTTAGCCCAACTGCTCTTCCTCAATGTGCTGCTACAAATAAGAGAAATCTGATTTTTAGTATCAAAAAGACTGGGATTCGTTTGGTACCCTTTCAAAATTGCAAGTCAAACATGGACAGGAAAAATGTGGGAAGCTTTGTTCTACGTCAAATTATTCTTTTTCAAAATCAATTGATCTCCAATAACATTATTTGACTTAAATGATTGTAGGTATGAACAACGTATGTAATGGAAATGGTGGAAAATTGCACCGTCAAAATTTATAATCCCCCTCTTGATCTGGGTAGTCAACTAGCCTAATTATGAAGTGAACCGCATAATGCTTTTTAGAGGTATCCCTGCAGTAGGTACTCCCGTATTTACCTTACGAATTAGGAAAACCGTCTCGCAAATCGTAAAGGGACATCAGAAAACGTAAAAGAATTTTCATTTTCTTTTCAAGAAAAGTTAAAAAAACTTGTAGGTACTTAAGAATTAAATACTGTCCCCTGCTCTTATTTGGATTTGTATTTTAACACGAGTTAAACGGCCTTAGTAACGGATCATATTAAACTCACTTAAAATTGAAGTACATATACGTAAAATAAAGAAAAATTACAAAACTTAAAGAAAATGTAAAATAAGCGAGCTCCCATAGGTACTTAAAGTTAAATTTGTCTATTAGCTCTACTTGGTTAAGTAATTTATTTCGCTATCATTCATAATTAAATAACCAGAACATCCTTCATTATGCAGATTCTTTGTGGCAAATTAGATGTGCGAGAGATTTGGCGAATGTTCCACTACAAAAATTCGCTTTATACATTTGCAATTATGTTTATGAATATCATACACATTACTTTCTAAAATTTGTATTTAAATTTTACATTGTTATGAATCTCATATTTTGGACCCTACGTATGGTAACGCTTTAACTTGAAAACAAGCGTTAAATTAATTTATTTACATTCACTTACAACGACCGTTCATTTAAAAAATAATTAGAAAAGGATTAGTACTAATTTATAAAAATCAATAGCATCAACAATACATTTAGACACTGAAAACTAAGACTGCCTTGGCATAGTATATTAGTATTCGTTGCAGTTCGGTTTTTATCGATCTAGAGCCAATTCTATACTTATGATTTGAGTGAATTGAAACAATGAGCTCATATTATTATATTTATTCGCAAAACACTGTTTGACATTTTATTCGAATGACATTTCAAATGATTGCTTCCAAAGCCCTCACACCTAACGGAAAAATAACAATACGTCTTTAAAAAACGCCAATAACTCAAAAACTACTTGATATAATCATACAGAATATTAATAAAAGTAACCCTAACATTCAAATCCACATTCATTTCTAGCATCTGAAATAGTACCTAGTTGCAATTTGAAAAACTGACGTTTTTGACATTTTTTGACTGCCAATTTTGAAAAATCGCAGCAACCATGGAAACTGTTTCAAGCATTTCAAAAAATTCTTTAGACTTTAAGGATTCAATTATAGAAACGAGTACTCACTTATCTTGAACGGTTTAAGAGATATGAATTTTTCAATGGACCCTTTGCATTTCTAAATTTTTAGAGAAAAATTGACATTTGTCAAAAACTATTACAGATAGGTTCCAAATCTTAAATGCGTTGAATTCATGTTAAAAAAAGAGACTGAATTTTGTTTGTGTTTTCATGAAGTTAAGTTCAGCACGTGAGAACTGGGGTGCCTGGGAATTTGCTGTGCAGGTTACTACTAGATGGAGGACGATGAACATAAACGTGTTGCATTATTCGTGCACATTCATCAAGCGAAAAATGCCAAGGAAATTTGAGATTGGGATAGTCTTCACAAAGCATTTGAAGATTCTAGATTAACTAGGAAAGTTGGTCTTCTACGCAAGCTTATAACAACAAAGTTGCTCATCGATGGCGGAATTTGTAAACATAATCGAAGTAACTGCAACTAAGTTAAGCAGTGTTGATCTGGAAGTTAAGGAACAATGGAGTGGAACATTAATGTTGGCTGGTCTTCCAGATAAGTATCAACCAATGATTATGGCCATGGACCCATATAGCACATGAACGTACTATGGATGTACAACGTACGTAGTCAATTGAATTTGGCATTGTACATTGTACGTCCATTTTTGTACATTGTACAAAATATGTACGTCCATTTTTAGTCCATTTGCCATAGCCCTGTACCTTTAATGTATGTCCATTAAAGTAGGTCCATGGGACATACATAGAGGTACTTAAAATGTACAAATTCTGTTATTGTCATGGGTGCAAATTGAGGTGCAAATGAAAGAAGAAAAAAACGAAATTCAAAACGATTTAATTGAAGTAAATATATTATACATAAATATATATAGGTTTATGCAATTCACACGTTTTTATCCTTTCCCCTTTCTGCACAACGCCTTATCCATTTAGATATATTTTGCTCTATTTCATTTAATGTGGTATCCTTGAAAATAGTCATACAGGCTTCTGCAAAAGAAAAATGCTACGGTGTGTTCCAATGTAATTAAATTAACTTACTTATTATTATTTTTTTTTTTATTTTTATTATCCCTCTCTGTTTTGGGCCCTCAACAGGCATGCGCCCAATTACAGAGTGACCCGCATAATGCTATTTAGAGGTGCCTCTGCAGAAGGTCTTAAGTTGGTCTATACTACTCCGGTATTTACCTTACGAATTAGGAAAACTGCAGGAAAACCTAATTCGGAGTAGCCGGTAGAAAACTGGCCTAAGGTAATTTCCATCTCCGCCACAGATGAAAAATTCACCTCAACCCAGGTTCGAACACCCGACCTTCGGATTTATAACCCAATGCTCTTACCACTGAGCCATAAATCCGATCAGAATCCGATTAGAAGGTCATTTAGTCACAGAACACTATAGTAGTTTGCGCGAAGAATCACAAAAGTTAGTACACAAAGTTTTTCTAACAAAATAACGTGATTTAGATTAAATAAATACAACAACACAACGCCATAAAGAATGACCGGCGAGCCGCGAGCGGCGACCGCATGAATCAGTAATCGCGTTTTGTCGTATTTCTTCGTTGACCGGGAAAAACGTTACAAATATTTGGCGGAAAAAAATATGTTAAGAAAAAATATAAAACGGTTAGCGGCGCAAACTGCAGACAATCATTAGATGCATAAAATACATTAATTATAAAATAATTATCGATACGTACTGATCCCATCCTACATACAATGTACATTACAACAAGTACGTCCATTTTTGTACGAACATAGGATGTACATCATTCGTCCATGGATGTATGTACGTATAATGTACTTAAAATGTACGTCCGATGGACAAAGTGTGCTATATGGGGAGGGTTCATGTATAGAAATGACCGGGAACTATGTCAAGACAAAGTTACTGGGTAACCAAGGTCTTCAAGAAAACTGTGAAGTGTTATAGATGTCAAGAATTCGGACATATCAAGTAGAATTGTCCTAAGAAGAAGCTCGGCAAGAACAACTGACGGCAAGAACATGTTTTGTGCTATATGGGCGTTGAAGTGTCCAGAAAAAGAATTGATTAATTAAGACAGTTATTATGGACGGGACCCTCTATTTCGAGTGGAAATTTCATATTAAAAATTATAAACCTTAATGATATTGATACGGTCGCTTGTAACGAATCTCATAGAACATTAGCAACATTAATTATTAATTAAAGTCAACTTTAATTAAAGGAGTCCTAAAGCCAAAATTTCAATGGTTAATTTATAACAATTTACTCAAACAAAATCCAATAATGAAAAAGCTCTTTAAACCAGACAATTTCCCTATGACCCTGATAAACCTACGGCTCAACGAGAATGGTTTCATTGAATTTTTTTTTTCGAACATATTCTCTAAATAACATAATTATCTATTCAGCACGCATACTTAACTACGTAAATTACAAAGTTAAAAATTTTTAAAGATCAAACATTCATAACAAATAATAAATTTCTTCCATGGGGATCGCAGTTGGAAGCGTCCCCATTACACTTGCTGCATTGCCACGTTGTATAGCAATACTGATTTTTTGTCTTAAATAACTAGTAGCTCGAGGTTCTCCAGTAATTCTATTGAATTCGATTATTCGAGAGCTTCACCGAAAAATCCGAATTTGTAGTGAACGATGCAGATCAGTTGCAGATACTTCTTACCTTTTAAAGTATGTATTTCAATACATTAACGATTATACAAGATACAAAGTAGCTGTAAATACTCTTACAGCTTTTTATGTGAAACCGATAATTTTAATTTATGCTGTACATCAACTTGCAACTCGAAAACAACTCCCCAGCAAACACACTTCTGTTTAAAAAACATTTTCAAAGCGCTAAGAAAGGATAAATTCGGTATTGGTAGTACGATATACGTTTTTTTATAGACCAATTTTATACCCTACGTTTAAAATTCGATTTATATTTGTATATACAAACCATAGAGTTCATGTTCTACGTTGATGATATGTAAATAAATAAACGTTGTTTTAACAATAATTTTATAACCCACTTTGATTTACCTTAGGGGAATATAAATTCGAAATTGCGAATAAAAATTAGGTATATTCTACGTATCAAAATTGTTTATTATTTATGTCATTTACTGGAATATTGGTTTGCTTACTTGCGGTACAAATGCGAATACAAATGGCACGAATTCTATTTGATCAAATTACTACTGAAAGTGGTACAAGGAATACGTACTTTATACGATCCCATTATTTTGTGTTATACGACCGTTTTATGCTTGTATTTATATCTAATCTATAGACATTTTAAAACTGTTTATTTTGCATCCTTTTACACTCACGTATGCATTTTCATAGGAGTTGTGTGATAGTTAGGGTTACGGCTTCATCTAAAAACGTTGGGGTATTTCCAGTATTTGGTAAATTGACAATAATAACAAGATTATAATATGTTCATACTCATCTTTATTAGGACGTGGTAAAGCAGTATTCTTGACGGGAAACTGCATCCACCGCCCCTTCAACGAAAACCGGGGCTTCCGATGTATGCAAAGACGACAAGAATTGGAAACGACCCTTCTTGGACGTAAAGACGCCTACAATCTCAGTGTAACTTTAATAACACTTACAACATATGGAAGTTTAAACTTATCAGTTTTTTGCTTCGCAGAGGAACGACTTCGTCGCCTCATTTCTCTACAAAGACGGAAAGAATTGGGAATGGAAATGACTTGGTAGTTAAAACGTCTACAGAGCGTTCGTATAGATGCTCAGGACGTCTAACGACGCCACTTCCCGATGCGAAGATTTACAAATAGGCAATGAAGAAAATGGACACTGAATGTTCACGGTGAACTTTGTAATTATTATGTGCTTTATATTAGTTTGATTAAATACACATCTGCCATGCCGATATATTGCATTTATTTTAAACGTTTATTAGCAGTAGATTATCGACGAATTTAATACGAATAATACGTACGGATATTATACTACATATTCCATATCCGAAAAGTAAACGTATTCAGTAAACGCATATAAATCGTATATCAATGGGAATAATAAACGCAATAATATTCTACAGGAATTAACCACATCCGCCGGCCATTTATGTGTACTTAGATACCAGTAGGTAGATCATTACGTTTTTTACACGTAGGGTTTTAGTCTACTATAAAAGCATTTTATACGAAAATGTGTTGCTTGGGTTCTAACGGAATCAATTGATATGAGCCGGATTAAAAGTTTAGTTACCGAATACGAGCCGGGTGCCAAAAAATTCCCTTACTGAAAATGGTATGCGATTGTTTGCAACTTGTTTAATATATCGTTGTCTGTGTCACTAAATGACGTTTCTAGATATTCAATCCCATTCCACTGGTTTATCTATATCAAATGTTGGTGGTGGTGGTGCGGTTTATTCGTTTATTGTTTGTTGGGCCGAGTTGTTGTAAGAATTCTTATATGAAGTCGCCCATTTTATTACTAATTAACACTTTTTGTTTGTATCCTCGTCGCCATTATGTTGTATTGTGCCTATAATGGAGGTTATTCAACTTATATGACAAATAAAACATGTACCTACCTAATCTTGAATATATTTTATTATAATGATTTACCTAACCCCTTAGCGGTCAAATGAATTTTTTGAATTTTTTTGTGTTTTCTATCAATATTGCGTAAATATAATATCTGAAAACCAAAAATAACACGTATTTCAAAATTGGTTGGGTAATGTCTCCGAAAGGCGCTGCTCAAAGCTATACCTATACATTATTTATAATGAAAAGAAGCAAAACATTGTATGCAAATTTCGATGCAAACTCCAACATTACGATATTGTGGCACATTATTGTTCTTCCAAAATACTGACATGAGCACAACTTCTCCGATTCTCAGATGATTGTATTGTAACCACTCAAAATAAGAATTTTTAATGAAACATCAAATTTGTTATGTACGCATTTTAGTATCGGTTTCATTTTTGAATAAGGTTTACCTTTGAGTTTGCGCAGTTATAAGCTGAAAAATAGTATCGTCGAAGAACAATTCAAATTTTGAATTATTTTTTTCTCAAAGGCGATTCTTGATCCATTTTCTATTCGCGGTACTTGCTGGTAGATTAGAGACTTAAGGAGCAAGTGTTGTTGTAACAGACTTTTTTACTGGAATCTGATTGTGTAACCGAATCGGCATCCAACTGGTCTTCTACTTCCCCTGCTCTTTCATTGTTTACCAGTAATTTCGACTTTTGAAGAAATAGGTAAAAGATACAATTTTTGGGTAAAAAAGAACTCCTATTTTATACCTGTTAGATTATTATTACGGATACTTTTTCAACTGTAATTACTCAATACCAACACGAATTTAGCTGAAACCAACTTCTTCGGCTTTACCAATGAGATTTTCGTCTCACTGGACCGAGGACTTGATGTTCATGCGGTATACACAGGCCTTCGATAAAGTTAACCACGATTTATTAATATTTAAGCTAAAAAAAATATGGTGTTAGCGGGCCTGCTTTGATTCTGCTCCAGAACTACTTATGCAATCGGAAAGCCCAGGTGAAGATAAGTGATAAGTGGTCCAATCCGATTGAAGTGAGTTCGGGTGTTCCTCAAGGATCTCATCTTGGTCCAGTACTATTTTTGATGTTTATAAACGATATACCTATCATCGGTGTTTGTATCTAAACATGTCTTATTTGCGGACGATCTGAAAATATATAGACCTATTGCAGACCTTCAAGACATGAGTTTGTTACAATCTGATTTAGTGCGACTTAAAAAGTGGGTGGTTGAAAATGGCATGAAATTAAATGTTAAAAAGTGTCACGTGATCTGCTTTTCCAGAAGGAACTCTCAATCTTTTGCAAAGTTACTATCTGTGCGGTCAGCTGATTGATTGCGTGGATTCTGTTCGGGATCCTGGATTCCAAGCTTACATTTCGATTGCATTATGATCACATTGTATCTAAATCTACTAAAATGATTGGGTTTACCAACAGGTAATGCAAAAGTTTTTCTAGTCCATGTACATTACGCACCCTATACTACTCATTAGTTCGATAAAATCTTGATTAGTAATGTATAATATGGTCTCCATATCATATCCCACACATATCGATAGGTTGGAAAGAGTGCAATCCTATTTTCTTCGATTGTTAAAATATAAGCTCTCTTTGGCAGGAATCGTGTTTGGATAATGCACCGTCCATTCAGTGGGTTATTGCAGTAGCAGAAGAAAAGTTGGGGCCTGTAACATCCAAATTCAAAAGCCTATTATACAGAATTTTGTAGCATTTCTAAACTATGTTTAAAATTTGTATGATCGAGGTTGTCAATTGCATGTACGGGCGATAAGCATAGCGCTTATCCACTTGAAGTTCTGAATTTGATTGACTGTGGTTTAACCAAACGCTGTTTGCTTATTTTTGGTCCATTTCGAAATTTAAATAAAACTGAAGAAATTAATATTGAGCTGTAATTGGAAGGAAACCGCCTGGTTAATTTGTTATTTTGTGGTTCAACTTTAGCCCATGTCTACAGGCACCCCACTGGACCTGGGTAATCCTTCCGCCCGACGAGGTATATTTAATTGTGTCGATATTCGGTTGTTGAGTATAATAATTTATAATTATTTATAATTATTGTTTCTAGTTGGAAATTTATAAATACCCACCTATTATTATTGACACGGTTGTAGGTACCTACACATTTTCGCTGCTCGAGTTTACGAAAAAAAAAACAGTGGAAACGGAATCGCCCAGTCAGGGCAGTCCTGTAACGGGAGTTACCGGATGGTTTTTCCATAAAGGTGTGTTTTTTTGAAAAGTCGATAAACCAAAGCACACAGGGACCATCAAAAGTTGCGAAAAATTACATGGTTTCTTATCGTCTTATCGTCATCGTTTATAAGTAACATTACTTAGCAATCTTTAAAGCAGGGCGTGCTGTAATTGGCTTTTTACGCACGCTCAGGCCCAATCCGCAAAATATACAGGTCACAATATTTCGGATATACCTTGGTAATTGATATTATCATCAGGCTTCAGGATCAGGATACGGAAGTGATCGAAAATCGAAAAATTGCATTAAAAAAATCGACAACCGAAACTATGGCAGTGAAAAGCTCGTGCAAGGAGTTTTCCTTGTTTTGTTCATAGTTGATTGGGTAGAGGAGAGACAAATAAAAGTGAAAATATAATATTTGACTTTTTCATTTTGCTCACAAGATTAGGGTATTACCATGGAAATATACATCAAAAGCACTAAGATAATACGATAGGAAGTGAAAGACGTTTTCGACTGGTCAAAGAGGAAGAAGATCACTTTTCTTCTAACTTGTTTCGAACAGATGAAGCAAATTAATTAATATAATCATAATAAATGCCTTCCGGCGCAAATCTTTATTAAGATGATTGATTATAGCTAAACCAATAATTATCTTGCACATGCCAATTGAAAACCATGGGACCAACTGATTTTATGTTAAAAAAATAAAAACAAAATAGACTGGTGTGTTGTAATGCGGAAATATTGCAAAAATTAGGTCAAAGCACGTGATTTGTTTAAATAAAAGAATGAAGGTATCACGAGTTTAAAATTTATGACGAAATAATAATCAAACCGTTTGAGAATATCTGGTCGTAAATGAGCTCAGGATCCCCCCGAGTTCAATTTTACTTTCTCTAATAATAACAAGCTCTTCATGCCAATATAACAACATACGAGTGTTACCAGTCGAAAGGAACGGTCGGAAGGATTGGTTTTGGTCTTGTGCAGTTCGAGAGGTACACGTGCGAATTCTCTTCAATCTGAAAGTGCGTTATGTTCGTTTAAGTGCCGTTTTGTTTTATTTACCGAAGTGAAAATGAAGATCTGCTGGTAAGCGGGCGGCGTCAGGCGAATTCCGCTAATGTGAAGATCGCTTTCACTGGTTGGGACCATTTTTTTTTGGAATCTTTACGTAAATTATTTAATCAATTGATAACCGCACCTACTCACAAAAAGTGAAACTTTCCTCACATTTTGCGGAATTTCTTTACTTTCTAGAATCGACCAGCGTTTTAGCACCGTTTGATGGGTGGTGTAATAATTAATTGGGGGAACTATGCGATGTGTAGATCCATTGTGTTTTTAAAGTTTAAATACGTGAGTGACCTTTGAGGTTTCTTTGTGATGCTCCCAATTACCAATACCAAAAAGAACGACCTTCACTCTTTCGGTTCATAATTCGTTACCCAAAGGTAACTTTTAAATTATTTTTTCAAGATCAAAGGCACAATTATGTAAAATTGGCATGCTCCATTGGTTTTCCAGTCTGCGGTTACATGTGCACGTGTAACTGAAACACATCTTCCTAGATATACGAGACGTCTTTTTCACTTTCTTAAAATTGTCATTCGATCCTCACTTCCTGGCACCAAAACCTTTCACTTGAAAATTACCTTTTATTTGATTTGTTACAAATAATCATAAATTCCACTTTCATTTTTCTAACAATTTAGATAGTCCCCTAAAGCTGCCGGAATTCCAAATGTAAGGTGCGAAGGCTGCGTTAATCGTGGGGGCTTAACTTAGCTATTGTTCGAAATTCCTAATTAAAAACCCTACTTTCTTCACATTTTTGCATTTTTGCGAATTTAATTAGGGGCTTTAATTGATGATTAGCGCGAAAAATTTGTGAGAACTTTCGCATGTGCACGTCTTCCGAATTTGAGCGTTAAGCGTGTGACCTTTTCGTAAACCTAATCCTCCTTGAACTTGCTGAGTGATGTATGCAAATTAAATTTATGGTTATTCCATTGGTCCAATACACGGGCTGGTCCCAAAGTTCACGGCTATAGGCAATTAGTAGCAGAGTGCCATGTCTACATCTTCTTCCTAACAAAGTCTTCGTATTGCTCCAAACTGGTGCAAAATGACCACGCCTTCTCATGGTATCCGCTATTTCTTCATACACGGAAGTTCGATACAATCAGGGACGTTAGTACAAAAAGATCGCAATCAAAATAGTTTTCTAAGTTGCAAAACTGTTCTATTAATTAGGGAGAGAGGACGATGGTATAAGAGATGGTTTGAAGGCTCAGGCTTGATTAACATAAAAATGGCGAAACTCCTGATGCAACACTTTTAAACAATAAGGTATTTAGTCACGAGAGAATAGTACTCTTTGCTTCATTGCAAAGTTATTGTTAGTAATAAAGTAGTTAGAAGCTCTAGGCTTGGTAATGAATTATAAAATAGTACAATGACCGTTCGATATGTAACCTTGTTTCAAGATCTGCCATTAGGGGAAGATAATGCACAAAACTGCTACTCTGTGCGGTAACATGTAAATATGTAAACCAAAACCCGCATGCCTAAGAGAAAGTGCTAGAAAACCTTCCTTTGGCAAAGCATTGATGCGACAAAACTACATGATTGCATAACAAATATTAGCGCGAACAAATCACGGCGACCTCCACGTATGGTGATGGATGGGTACCTATCCAATCAATTATGCCATTTCCATTGTTCTTAAACGGTCGAAAGATTACGCAAACGCGTAATTATATTACAATTTAGTGCAGGTCGGGATTTTTTCCTTCGGGTCGCAATTGTACAAGTGATGTAAGGTCTAATTATTCGGTCTTGAAAATATGAGAAAGGCGCGAACTGTCGTTAACCAATTTCTCTGTCGAAAGGATCACGAACCCTAAAAGCTGTGAAAGGAGATACTTTCCCCATCTACTTCCACCTTTATAAAAATAAAAAGTTTGTTAAGATAAACTACCGGTCGGGTGAATCATATGACTTAGAAACCAGTCTGCATAAAATTTATTATAGCTACGTGCAGTAATTCTAATTATTACAAAGCTCAATTAAACAGAAACTTTCATTTTCATTAAAAAAAAATTTAAATCTTCACGTGGTGGAATGGTGCCAAGGTCGGACACCTACAACGTCAATTACCCACGTTTGACAGTGTCGAGGGTGATGCCATGTCAGTCTATCAATAAAGATATAGACGCTTTCCATATGACGTCAGAGGGAGGACGAGTTTTGGTAGTGATCTCGAGCTGACCATGCATCAAATTTCACCATAAGGTCACAACTTTCTCCTCAATCGCATTAATATTCAACGGCTTCAACAAATAAATTCTGTCGCCGTTTCAAGGTTTCATTTTCAAGCAGGTTTTATGAAAAAAAAAGCCTTTATGAGGTAATTATCGTTAAATTCCTCTTTGAACAATTATAGAATTTTAAACAACGCGGATGTCTTTATAAATAACAACGAACATGAATGAGTAAAGTTCTTAGAAACCTCTTTGCATGACAGACTGCCTACCATTTTAGGTACCCGTCATGATAATGGAAGTGAAAGTGAATGCATTCCGTCAGTTCATAAGTAAACAACACAATTAAGAAGCTATTTGGGGTTCTTCCTTTTTGAAATGCCGCGTGTATGGGGATTTCAAGGCTGATCTGGAGTTTTTTTAAGCTTTTTTGCCACAAATTTGTCCTTAACCAAGTTATCCTTACTAAATGGGAATCTTTTTGTTGTTTTTATTTCATTGGACTGCTGAACCAACCGGCTTCTATAGCTTCTACCAGCATCTCTTTGCCAAGTAGGCCATGGAGCAATCTTTGGTAGGGCTTTGAAATGGTCTAAGCGAGAAACGCTCGCGACACGTTACGTTCTTGCGTCAGAATGAAGGATCTGATGTTTTAGTTAGCTCATCACTTATTTTTGACAACAATTATATGTTAAAACTAACCCTATGGAATGGTTCGTGTGCTACAACTTCTTTATTTATAAATGTTACAACCCTGGACCAGTATGCAGTGCGGTGTTACTGTTTGGTAATATTTCGGAACAACAAAAGTGTAGTATTTCAAAAGAGAGTTTTAATCTCCAAGAAATGCACCCCGATGAATCTTTTCGAGGAATTGGCAAGCGCAGGATTCAGAAATTTTAAAAAAAATATTGGTGAGAAATAAATAGTGAGAGCCTGGGGGGAGGGAGAACACCTATTTCGATTTTGCTATGTTGGACATTTTCAAGTTTCGAACATTAACGAGGTGAACAAGTTCATTAACAAACTATTATTTCACGGAAAATGTGGGTAACTATACTGGGTTTATTTTTGGTCACTGCTTTTGACATATCTCGAAAAGTTGAAGTATAAAAATTTACAGAATTTGTCCAGAACGTTCAGGAGATTTTTATTTTTTCGCAATCATTGAGCACACCATCTCTTTTAAAAAAAAAAGGCTTTGCCATTTCTTATACTATGCGATCAAAAAAGCGTTGCTATCGAGTCACCTTTGGAATTTTTGTTTTTGTTTTAACTTGAACTTCCAAAGGCGACTCGACGTCAATCCTTTTTTGATCGCTCGTTACCTTAAATTTGTATAAATGAAAAAGACTACAACCCATAGGTGACGTGTATGGACAGCCCAGATAAAATAACCCAAATTTTATATGTGTATCTAATAAAATCTAAACTTTCGCAGCTAGTGTTTGTTGAAAAGGAAAAACATCCAGTTTCTTTCCACGAAATAGCATTTGTTTTTTTGATTGTTTTATTGTAGGTGGTTGCCTTCGAGGGATTATATTACAAATTGCACCATTTTACAATGTGCCATATAATAGGATTTTCACTTAAACAATTAAGTTTACAATTCCAAGTAAAATTATCTGAGATCCTATAAACATTTATACCACCTTATACGAATCCTTATGCATATAAATGTGCAGAAACATACTGAATTATAAGCTCATAGGTTTTTTTTTATTATGTTTTATTATTTATTATTGTTATAGTCACAATATTGTCTGTGGTGTGTTACCTAATATCTGCAACAAGGATCGTATCGATGCTTTTTATTTGGGTGATTTTTCGAAAGAAATTAGTGGTTTGGTCGGTCTATTCCTCGTTTAACTCGAGAACGGAAAGAGACAGCGGTGTCAAATTGCCAATCACTGTGCCAATCGATTTCAAAAATCAATACCATTGAATATGATCCCGATGAGGGGGATAAGGAGTGAGTAGTATGGGGAAGGTTTTGTGTCTTTTTGGGATTTAACGACGCATTATCGGAGATAAACTAAATGTTAAAAACCAAATTAGCCTACAGTTTTTTGTTTTTGAGTTATAGGTAAAAGTTGCATTTTTCCATTCTTAAATAAAAGCCTATAATTTCTTTGTTGATCGGAAATATGTTTATTACAAATGATTGTTGCATAATCTCCGTTTTCAAAATAAATATACGGGGTCAAATAAAATACAAAATTTTTCTACATGAAAGTTATTTAACATTTTATTTCCCTTAATAAGGCAGCATTCAGTTGTTCTTATTTCAGAAAATAAATGAGCAACGAATATACCAAAATAAAACAAATGAACGTGTACGTTTCTTGAAGACAACACGAAATTAGCAATAATCGTTGCAGCAATTTCTCCCAAAATACTCAGACGTTCATTTCAAGCTTTCTGTGATAGTTTAGTTCACATGAAACATTTTTTTGATCACTTATTGTGATGAAAACCATTTTATTGCTAATTTCATTTTGTCTTCAAGGTTTTTAATAAAAAACGTAGACGTTCATTTGTTTTATTTTGATGTAAGATATCTAGATTAATGTTATTGACGTAATTATAATAATTTTTTTTGAAAAATTTTCTTGAATAAGGATTTATTATTTTAAATAGAACACCCTATATTTTATTGCATTTTCGAAATCTACACGAACATCTCGTTTGATACCACATTTTCCTATACCTAGCATCAAAGGTTTTCAAGTTATCCAAGATTTTTCAAAATTTTTGACGTTTGACTGCTTTTCTTTAGCGCCCGTGGCTCCGATGACTTGAATTTCAAAAAATCTTTCCAAACCAACAATACTGACGTGATGCTACATGCGATTGATTTAAATTTTCATCGCCCTTCTACAGGGTGTTTTAAAATTAATGGTTAAGTTTAATAACTTCGAACCTTAAAAAGTTGATTTTTTCAAATGAAACCGGCTTTATTTTTTGCTCTTTTAAATGTGGGAAAAAATTCTACATCGATCAATGATTACATTCCCTATCACCTATCTGTAATGGTTTTCGTTTTATTTAAGATTTTCCAAAATTGTGACGTTTATATGCATAATTTTCTTAGGAGGCCGCGTTATATGCGTATTATGCCATTAAAGTACTAAAGTTATGCCATTAAAGTACTTGTATCTGTTTAAAGTTCTTCGGCAATTTTTAATTAGCAACTGTCATGGATCACAAAGAATAAATCAGCTAGTAACAACCAGAAGCATGACCAAGCAATATAAAAAATTGCCAATAATAAATAAAACCCTATTTCAACGATCGCCGTTATATCTTGGACCAAAATTATATAATGTTTTATCGAGTAATTTTAAACATCTAAGATTAACAAAGAATCTATTCAAAAATATTCAAAAATGGATAATGACTCAAACGACACTTCTGGACAGTATATTAATTATTCTTGCATAACTAAGTCACGTTTGCTGAAAATAGAACAAAAAACGTAATGATGAAAAAAAAAAGTAAAAACAAAATTTTTTTTTGTTGACTTAATAAAAAAAATAATGAAATTTTATTAACTAAAGCTACACTTTCACTCAGGGCTGTATGCTTAGTCCATAGAGAATCCCTTTCCCTATTAAATTTCTTTTTGATGTTAAAAAATTCACTTTCTTTCTGTCTCTTTTCTCCTCTTGTTTTTTCTTGTAGATATCTTAAAAAGAAATTTTTATTTTTTTGTTTATATTACTCTCATGTAGTGAATGCTCATGTATAACATTTTGTATGGGAATAAAGTCAATTATTAATTATTATTAATTATTAAGTTATATGGTTATAATTGTTATAATTCGTTATTCATAGTAGACTATCACTAAGTATGAAAAAATCCTATTTACTTTAATGAATACAAATTTAAATAAAGATGAAATCAAAAACAGAAGCAAGCCATGATAACAAACGACAAAACAAGAAACAAACGTCAATTGCGGTTTTGTTCTATGCAACTACCGTTTTTTTCAATAGATAATGGCATCCTCTGATTAACTCCGTTGATAGTCGCCTCTCGAATTCCTACCCGATTTCATCAAAAGATCTCCTCACCCTAACTTGCAGTTCTTCACGAGAAACAACTGGTGTAACTTTGTTTTTTACAAGAACCCGCACTTAAAAGTCCAGTGGCGTTATATCTGGAGATCTAGAAGAAATAGCGCGGATCTGTAGGCCTAATCCACCTGTTTTCAAAAAATGTTCAAATACGCATCATGGATACAATGAGCCGGCGCTCCATCAAGTTGAAACCAATAGTTTTCCCCGTGTAATGTTTTCCAAGGATGCTACAATAGCATCTACTAACGCATTTACTTCAAGGCCTCCTAAGAAAATTATGCATATAAGGGCCGCAATTTTAGAAAATCTTAAATAAAACGAAAAGCATAAGAGATAGGTATAGGGAACGTAATAATTGATCGATGTAAAATGTTTCCCACATTTGAAAGTGCAAAAAAATAAAGCAGGTTTCATTTGAAAAAATCAACTTTTTAAGGTTTCAAGTTATTACACGTGACCAATAAATTTAAAACACCCGTCAAAATTTAAATTATTCGCATGTAGCATCACGTCAATATTGTTGATTTTGGAATACTTTTTGAAATTCAAGTCAACGGAGCCAAAGGTACAAGGCACCAAAGATAAGCAGTCAAATGTCAAAAATTTTGAAAAATCTTGAATAACCTTTGATGCTAGGTATAGGAAAATGTGGTATCAAACAAGTTGCTTTTCATGTAGATTTCGAAAATGCAATAAAATATAGGGTGTTCTATTTAAAATAAGAAAGTTGCTATCCACATCCGTTAAAATCGGAAATGAAACGATCATGATATCTTCTTTCGATAGATCATGAAAAACTATAGCTATTTATATATATTAAGTACATAAACTGGGTCTTTATGGACGAGCCGTTTATTTAGCCGAGCGAACTTGCGAGCGAGGCACAAATAATCAAGGCGATTCCCCATAAAGTATGAACCCTTTAAAATGAAAATTTCATGGAATTCAATAAACGATAAAATCTATGTATCATTGACAACAGATGTCAAGCATTTGTGCAGTATTTCTAAAATACTTGAATTTACCTTGGATTGACATCTAAGTACGACTGTCACATTGACAGGCGGCCATTTTACTTTATCATTATGGACTAGGCCATAATATTGCAAATTATGGCCACTAATTGCGACTGTAATTACCGCATTATCAATCGTACATAAAAGTATTTAGACTTCCAATAATAATTTAAATCTGAAAATTTGCATACCAACATAGTTTTTCATGATCTATCGATTTTAACGGATGTGGCTAGCAACTTTCTTATTTTAAATAGAACACCCTATATTTTATTGCATTTTCGAAATCTACATGAAAAGCAACTCGTACGACTGCTTGATAATGCGGTAATTACGGTCGCAATTAGTGGCCATAATTTGCAATATTATGGCCTAGTCCATATGATAAAGTAAAACGGCCGCCTGTCAGTGTGACAGTCGTACTTAGATGTCAATCCAAGGTAAATTCAAGTATTTTAGAAATACTTGACAAATGCTTGACATCTGTTGTCAATGATATATAGATTTTATCGTTTATTGAATGCAGTTGTACATAAAGCTTTGTATATATCGCGTCCATAAATAGGCTTTTTGGGGACTCGCCTTGTTTATTTGTGCCTCGCTCGCAAGTTCGCTCGGCTAAATAAACGGCTCGTCCATAAAGACCCAGTTTATGTACTTGATGACGCGGTTTGCGTGAAACAGCCTGTATATGATAAATGCTGGCAATGTCTTTTCTCAACGAAACTTGGGTTTACACCAAGTGCAATCTCTTTTTTTTGGCTCTTTGACTGTGTTGAAAATAGATCAATTGACACACGCCGGATTTAATTTATCAAAATCGAGCATCACTAATTGCTCAATTTCTTTCAGCTTCATCATTTTATCAGTAATCACAATTGGCGTCAACTCAGGAACTCCCATCGATTACAATTACAATATAACTCAGTATGTCGAAAACTTACCAGCAGAGCTTCGTGCCGCTGTCACGATAGCGTTATCGGAAGAAAGAAGGCTGCTGCAACACAGACCGGAAACGACGGACTGCAAGTTAAATAGCACGGTACAGTGTCCTCCCAGCAAGTATCGGCATCCGACGGGAGCGTGCAACAACGTACGACATGCACAGTGGGGAGCGAGGGGTGCGCCGTTCCTTCGGTTGTTACCGCCGAACTATGCAGATGGTAACACTAATCCTTGAGAGTGCTCCCGTTAACATGATGGTTTAGGTATCTCAAAACCTCGACAAGGTTTGCCCAGTTCTCTGGATGTCGCCGATGCCATGCAGAAGCAGGCGAAGGGCCATCACGAGTCTGTAACAGCGCTTCTCGCGGCGTGGGGAGAGCTTCTTCTTCACGATTTGGCTAGCACTGGAAATTTAGACAGGGGGGTGTGTTGTAGCAATAATATCAACGTAAAGCACGGCGAATGTTACGGAGACATCGGTCGCGAGCAGTGCATGGAATTTATGAGATCTTTACCGGCGAAGGACGTGGACAGCTGTACCTTTGGTACTGCCGTTTCTTTTATTAAATGTCGCTAACGTATTGATTTTAGAGTACAGAAACCAGATGAACCTAGCATCGGCATTCCTAGATGGGTCCGCCATTTATGGTTCAACGGAAGAAGCCTTGGAAAATCTCCGGACCTACGACGCTGGCCTTGTGAACGTATCAGCCTGTGTTGCGTGTCAGTCAAACGCACTGTACTCAGCCATATTACACGAGCACAACCGAGTAGCAGTAAACTTGGCGAAGCTCAATCGGCATTGGATTGACGAAAAGCTCTTCTTGGAAAGCAGAAGAATTGTTGTGGCGGAAATACAGCACATCACCTACAACGAGTTTTTACCGACCGCTCTTGATGAGGTAAGGCTATATTACTTGATCATTCAGTGCTGTAAAGCAAATTTCAGGGTTTAACAACAAGAACCGACTTAGCTCTTCTGACTCATGGTCATTATTCAAAATACTCCAGTTTGAACCAGGTTGGAGTCTACAATGAAGTTGCCTTCACTGCCTTGCCTGCTTTGCTATCGATGGTCCCTAGTACCTTGATGAACACCACCACGAGCAGCTTTGCGGAAATGATCGACATATTGATTCGTACCCCCGCCCAAACTGCCAGTATGCACATGGTCGTCCCATTAAGAAACAAATGGGAAACGAGTTCTTTCCTAATTCAACTGGGACGCGATCACGGTATTGCCCCCTACACAAAGTGGGTGCAGTTTTGCCACAATATTTCGATAAAGACCTTCGACGATTTGAAAACCACCAATATTGCGCAGAACAACATTAAACTGTTGTCAAATCTATACAAGTAAGGTGTTAACATGGTTCACAGGGTCCCAAATAACGTGCGTTGTTTTTTCAGGCATCCTCATGACATAGATTTATTAACGGCGTCCATTCTTGAACAGCCAACGCCGGGGTCTGTCGTGGGACAAACACTTTCCTGTTTGCTATATCGCCAATTCGCGCTGTTAAGAAATTCGGACAGGTTCTGGTACGAAAATGACTTACCACCAAGCTCGCTCTCGAAGGAACAGCTGCAGGAGATTCGAAAGGCTACCATCGCTGGAATTTTATGCGCCAACACCGAGTATCTAGACAAAATTCAACCTCGAGCTTTCGTTCAAGAAGATCCATACTTGTAAGTCATATTTTCCTTTGTACTGTTCTACAAAAAACGACTGCAGGAACGCCCGTATATCGTGCAATCAGCACACCTTACCTCAGCTGACACCCTGGCTAGAAATGGACACCACCGCAGACCTTTCGGAGGAAATTTTGATGGAAGCGATTGCTAAAGCCGAACGGGAAGTGCTGCAAAGGCGGAAAATGGAATACGAAGTTTGGAGCACAGGTAAGTGGGGATTTCGACTCAGAGCATACTTTAAGCTATAAAGTAGGCGACACTAGTGCCGCCTAGTAGTCTGTAAGAATACCAGTGGCAAAGTAATTTATTTTTGACCAATTTGAGACTCACTGGGAGACTCTAAAAGTCTAGGTTTGGCACTTCTGGTTGGTGGTATCCCCGAGAGGTGTCTTAGCACTGGCCGATTTACCAACAGGCTGAGTAGACTGGAGCCTGGGGCGGCTGATTTTAGGGGGCGGCAAATTTGGTCTAAACATTTTTGTCATACAGAAATTAAAAAAATTATTATTATACAGGGTGAGTTTTTTTACATGGCGGAGATCTCGTAAAGCGTAAGGGATACAAAGTCGCTTAAATAGGAAAATTTATGCAGAATTTTATGCTGATTAATTTTTCCTTTCACAATTTCTTGCTGCAAACATTTTCGTGAATACTTTCAATGGTATCAAAAAATAATTTTAGCAAACCCTTAGTGATTTTAGATTAAATTAAAATTTTTATAACTTGTGGGTTTGGAGTTAATCGCATTCTTATTTCTTGTAAACGCCATATTGGATTTCTAGACTCAACTGGGGGCGTAGGAACCCGGGAGGGAGGGGGGGCAGGAGGGTCAGTTGCCTCCCTTCATATTTTATACTGGGTCAGCAAAAACTATTTTGGCCCCCCATCATTCTGTTGCATTTTTTTTTATTCTAACTAATTTAATTATGTTGAGTATCTATTCTCTCGTGGAAGCTCGAAATGGGGTAAATGATAATCCGGAACAAAGATCACAAAACCTTCCCCATAAATTTCATTTATTATACAAAGATATAAATAATCAATGGCGACATGTTTCGGCAAATGCCATCATCAGGCCCTAGAATGTAATGCTTTAAACAATTTGTGTTCACCTGTAGCGACGAAACTTACAACATAAAAATCGACCGAAAACGGTACATGGTCGAATTCCATAAAATTTAAAAGGTACAAAAACCCTGAAGGGGAAAAAGTCCTAGTTAAGGGTCTACAGCCCTGAAGGGAGGAGTCGGCCGAAAGAGAAAAATTGGGGATTATTCCATAATGTTTCTAAAATGGGTAATTAAAATTAGCTTAACCTAAGCTTATCAATTTAAAATACATACAATAAAAAATTGAAAAAACGCCCGAAGACGCTATAACTATAAAAGCCGTCAATTAAATTGACTTACAAACGGCGGTGGATTAATAAGATGACAATCAAGTAGAAAACGACATCTTAGAACATGACAGATGTCATCAAATTTGAACTGAAAGGTGGTAATACTGAATTAAATTGAAAAACCCTAAACTTGTACATGGTGAATAAGCAAATTAATTGAGAAAAAGTAAGCGTTTATCAAGTTGAATGAATGTAGGCCGAAATCGATCGCGAATAACAGAAAATAAATGTCATTGAATTTCATCCAACCTGCTGGTCTTTTATTTAAAAATTGAAATTCAAAATTGAAGAATTCATCGACAAAACTGAATGATTTCATTGAGGGAAGTATGAGGGTTCGATTTAAACCTCTTATGTATTTCTTTAATTTCCAAACAGTCGAGTCTCACTCCCTTGCTACAAAACTGAAGAAATTTGACATTCTGCGAACTATCGAACGGGTGACCGCTTTCAAAAATATGCGTGGTAAAGGAGGATTTAATGGATAGATTGTTGTTTTTAATACAGTTAACATTCTCCGCAATACGGGCGCTAAACTTTCTACCGGTTTGGCCTACATAGGAAGCATCCAAGCATCACACCCCCCGCAAGCAAGTTCGTAAACACCGGATTTATCAGAGTTATTAATGCAATCCTTAGTGTGGACAAATTTAGATTTAAGGTTATTCTTAGAAGAAAAAGAAATGTGCACATCCAATTTCTTAAATAAGTTTTGAAAACGGTATGAACTCGAACCTATGAAATGAAGAGATTGATAAAGGGGCGAATTAGTTTGGTTGGAAAGGGTAGTAATATCTTTGAATCTTTTGCTGAAGAGCATTTTGTTATGCAAATTTTGAAAAATATTCAGGGGGTAACCGTTATTTTTGGCTATTTGGTAAATAATATGGAGTTCAGAATTAAAGTTATTAATGTTAAGAATTAAATTATGGGGGCGATTAAAATAAAATCTGAAAGCAGCCATCTTATGTGAAAAGGGGTGGAAAGAGTTGAACGGGATAACGTGATCTGTGGTCGTAGGTTTCCTGTAGATGCCAATTTCAAGATGTTGATCAATTCTAGTAATACTCATGTATGTTGAAATTATTTATCAAAAACTCTTTGTTAGATTGAACGAACTGACGGATCTTTATAACAAAGGACATGAGACTCAACCTGTTAGATTTTTTAAAATCATCAGAATCAATGAAATCATTAACTTTTTTAACATAGTCTTCACGATGCATAAGAACTACCAGCATTCCCTTTATCGGCTTTAGTACAAATGAGGTCATGGGCTTTGAGTTTGTTCTTAATTTAGTCAAAGATGAGCTTACTATTAAATCTGCCTTTAGGTACATACAGATTTAAGTTTTTCACTACAAATAGCTCTAACATTTTTTTGTTCAATAGGATTAACATTCTTTAAGATTATACATTCCACGTCTAACTTAAATTTTTCGATAAGATGTTTATTTAAATAATGTGGGTTATGTTTTAAGCAAAAAATCAAAGATTTTGTATCGATTGGGTCAAATTGGACATCCGTGAAGTTTATTAAACGGTTATGAAATTTTAAATCTAAATTATTGTTACAAAAGTTGTTATCCTAACAGATTTTTCCTTTTCTCAAATTGTGAAGCTTATCGTTTAGTTTTTGGAAAATTTTGGAACCAAAAGTCTCTACCTCGTCTTTGGTACGTTCTAAAATTTAATCTATTTCTAAATTATGAAGAATGTTGAAAAGTGCTAGGTGTTTACCGTAGATGATGTGATTTTGTTCATTTCTCACTTGGTACCAGTGTTGGATTTCCGTCTTGAGCCAGATTGTTTTAGCTTTTGACAATGACGTGTGAACTGCTCTGTTCGACTTGTTGTTGATTGAGATTTTAATGTACTTGGGAGTAAGATTTTCACGTGAGCAGGTGCTGTTAAAGAGAGTTGTGCGTTTCATCTTCAAACTTGATTTGATCCATTCTCTCATGGAAGCTCGAAATGGGGTAAATGATAAGCTTAGGTTAAGCTAATTTTAATTACCCATTTTAGAAACATTATGGAATAATTCCCAATTTTTCTCTTTCGGTCGATTCCTCCCTTCAGGGCTGTAGACCCTTAACTTCTCTAGGACTTTTTCCCCTTCAGGGTTTTTGTACCTTTTAAATTTTATGGAATTCGACCATGTACCGTTTTCGGTCGATCTGTATGTTGTAAGTTTCGTCGCTACAGGTGAACACAAATTTGTTAAAGCATTACATTCTAGGGCCTGATGATGGCATTTGCCGAAACATGTCGCCATTGATTATTTATATCTTTGTATAATAAATGAAATTTATGGGGAAAGTTTTGTGATCTTTGTTCCGGATTAATTTAATTATTTTCTTAATTCTCGAACCCAGAGTAAGTTTGAATCTGCCTTCTCACGAAAAAACTAATATTTAGACGGCTATTTACTGACAATATGTGAAAAATAAAATTATTTTGAATTAATTGCTGAAAATTATTGGTAGTGCTGCTTGAAATTGAATTGAATTAAATTGTTTCGTGAATGTGTATTATTACTTTTGACCTTGAAGACGGGAAATCACTATTTTTAACGCATTTTCCAAGATTGTCCGCACTTTGTCCATCTGTCAGTCTGTCTGTAGCACAGCCACGAGACCAGAACGACATAAGATTTTTTCGATTAATCACTTCCTTCCTGAGTTGTCACTGAGTCTGTGCGGGGAGAATGTGCTTTCGGCGTCTAATACTATTAGGCTCGCCAAGAAAGAATGCCGGTCACAGAACACTTGATGCTGGACTGCAATCGTATGGTTTAATAGCAAAAACATACGATTGTATCTAGACCGGAATCAGGTGTTCTGTAACCGGCATTCTCTCCTGGTGAGCATTGTAGTTAAGACTTCTTTATCAAAGAGTATTGACAGTCAGTTCACAATAAACGTATTTTGTGCTAATTTTCACTGTGCATAGTATGAATTTCAATTTATTTATTAACGAGCTTATAGCGAGTTCATAACATTGCGGTGTTTGTCCGTCTGTCCCGAGGTCTGTCCGTTAGCACGATATTTCGAATCGAGTTTCGAATTGACCGATTACGATGAAATTTTGCAGGTGGATTCTTTATCAAATTTGTAGATCGGAGTTCATGAATTGGCAATGTAGGCCAAAAAATGAGAGAGGCCTTTTTGACATCTCTGTTAGTTATGAACCGAAATTCAAAATGAGCATAGCTTTAGCCATATAATACGCAAGTTATAGCCATACCAAGGAGCTCGCATTTGCTATATTTGTTTAATTTTTTTTACTAATCATAATCATGGTTAGTAAATACACATTCGAATTATCCAGTATTGTTAATTTCAAATTAGTTTTGACACCGAAAGGCCGATTTGAGCTTCACCTCTGAATGTTTACCTCCCCCGAAAAAATTTGGTTCCTACGCCTCTGCACTCAATAATGAAATTATAAAATCGGCTAGAACAAATACCTAGTATTTTATTTGAAAATTGATCTTCAATTTTTGGATTGAAGTTTACAATGTATTACTTATGGCAATAATTCTATATCCGTGTGCATAATTCAAGCAAGCCCTCCAAAATTTGAACAAAATTCATCGAGCCTTTATCTCGGAAAATTGCCAACGTGCGTAAGGACATACATGCAGACGAAAAAAATATTTGCTTAAAATGATCTAAAATGTCGCCATAATGATGATGCTAAAAAAGCGCACCCTGTATAAATAGAGAAAACAAGTCTCAAAAATCGAACAAAAATGTCAATATTTTAGTACTGTGCAGTATATTCTAACGTACCTATGTATATATGAAATACTTAGTTATTTACATAAAAGTTAGGAAAATGGTTTATTCCAATTGAGGGTCTGTACGAGGCCCCTTTGGGGCCGAGTTCTTTAGTTTCCGAGGCAAGTAGTGTCATTTTACTGACGTGTGTTGCATTAAATTTTACCCGAAATTTTATTTTACCCAAAATCGTCCTGAAACCTTCATTTTCATGCCTACTTTCTGTCAGGAAATTTTAGTTTCCATGCCAAAGGCAGTGCAGACTACGTTTCCTGCCGCTTGTCACTTTATTGGCCGCACCTGTCACTTTACCGAGCGCATTTGTCTATAATGACTCCCGTCATCACTGACAGATTGACATTAATCAAAAGTTCTATATAATAATTGAAATTTTATATTACAATACGATTTCGGGTAAAATTTAATACAAAGTCGTCAGTAAAATGGCATTACCTGACTCGGAAATTAAAGTACTCCGCCCCAAAGCGGCCTCGCACTTCAATATTTCCGCGCCAGCATGGGCGAATTTAGGCAGGGGCTTTTATACACTCTGTCATGTCATTTACGTTAGAGATTCTTTTTATGTTATATTTAATAAATACAGTACGGTCGCTGTAATCCGAGGTTCCGTGCAATCAGAGCTCCAAAAGAAAAACAAGATACGAAGAATCGTATAAATTGATTGGAGAAGATTTGCGCTGTCTCTTTTCATTCTCGATTTCGACAAGGAACAGGCGGACGGACAGATAGGCTGTGTACAGATCGAGTTTCACTGTTTCTGTGGAATCTGTGCTTTTTGAAATTTGAGCCCCAGTCACCTCTGATTGTCAAGACTACCGAATTTCAATATTTTTAGTTATATTGATACTTAGTGTGTTTGCCTTACCGGTAAATTTAATAATAACTTTCTAAAGAAATAATAAAAACATAAATAAAGTTTTTCGATAACCCGAAATTCATGTAAGTAGGGCCCTCTAAAAATATTAGCCCAGAGCCCCCTGAGGCCTCGATCCGTCCATGCTCGCCAGTAATGTATAATTTTTCTAACTATTAATATAAAATTTCAATTTTCATATAGAACATTTGATGAATGTCAATCTGTCAGTGATGTGACAGATGCGGCCGGAAAAGTGACAGGTGCTGCCGGTAAAGTGACAGCCCGCAAGAAAAGTAGGCTGGTCTGTCTCATGGAAAGCCTGTCATGGAAACTAAAATTTCCTGACATAAAGTACGAATTGAAGGTGGTATGGCGACTAGATACGAATCAAATTATAAAACGCTCTGTAAAATACCTATACTTTTGTCATAACGTATTTTTAAAATATTCCAATAACTTTCCATTGTTACAATTTAAATTTAGTCATTTTGTGTAAGCTGTGTTTATATTGATGTCAACATTTTTAAGGCATACCTTACTCCACCTTATAATTAGCACATGATTGAGCTTTTTTTGGCTCAAAAGTTACCCAAAATCAATGTCTTGTGTAATTTTCAGTAGAAAGTGGGTTGTAAAAATAATCTAGAAACTGACACAATAGTCATGCTAATAACCGGAAAAGCTGATGTAATGAAAACGGTAAAGCACAAATTATAAAGTTGCAATTGTCAGAATAAATGTAGGTAATTAATATGATTGCGAATTGGGGTATTGAATTTCGGTCAGTCAGCAGGGGCGGCAAGAATGGAATAGCCTACTGGTGGCTAATTTCTGAATCCTCCACTATGTCTTAGTGCGAAACTATCGAACATGTGGTCGATCACTCTGACGCTTTGATCAGGGACAGACATCAACCTCTTGCAACCGGGGAGGGTGAAGCAACTTAGGCTAAACAGGGTCCTATCCTTCATTGAGAGGAACTCGGTTGCGAAAGAAAGGGGACAGATGTTTTAGTGCGCCAACTGGGACAGTCCAAAAATTTTACACTGGTGTGGAGCTTTCAGTATGGCCCACAGATATTGGGTTCAGTGTCGCCTAGTCGAAGTGTTTAAAATATGCTGTGGATTTTGTTATGTACAAAGTGTCTAATTATTATTCTTAGTTGGTGGCATCGATCCCAAATCTCCTGCAGGAACAGCCGCTTCCTTTAGCAAGGCTAATAAACAGGCTTTAAAATTGGCAAATTCGTCTTTGCTTCTCGAGTTTGCCTCCAATGAAATCATCAATTCTTTATTGTAAGTGCCCCAAGCTCTATGCGGGTCAAATTTTACCTACGATTGTTACAGATCGCACCGGCGCAAACGTCAGATCTTTGACAACAGTGTTTTGCAATCAGTGTTTAGAGATGAGCTTTCTGATGGGTTGCAGCACGTTGATGTAACCACATTTTTGCCAGCAAATAGCTTCGAGTTGGAGAACAATTGTGACGATTCCGGTCCTTGCGATCCTCGTACCCCTTTCAGGACATTGTCGGGTTATTGTAACAATTTGCGCAACCCAACAGTAGGAAAAAGTTTAACGACATTCACTCGTCTGCTGCCAAGCGCTTATGAAGATGGCATTTCCAAACCACGAGTGCTGGGGGTAACGGGTGTGCCGTTACCATCACCTCGCGTTGTTTCAACAGTAATCCACCCCGACATCAGTAACCTACACACACGTTATACGCTTATGACGATGCAATTCGCTCAATTTCTTGATCACGACATAACAATGACGCCGATCCATAAAGGTTTCCACGAATCCATACCAAATTGTCGCTCGTGCGACAGCCCGAGAACCGTGCATCCCGAATGTAACCCGTTCCCGGTCCCGTCGGGTGACCATTACTACCCAGAAGTGAATGTGTCTTCAGGCCAACAAATGTGCTTCCCTTTCATGAGATCGTTACCGGGACAACAGCATCTGGGACCTCGAGAGCAAGTTAATCAAAATACCGCCTTCTTGGACGCGTCACAGGTTTACGGCGAGAATGACTGCGTTTGTCGGATGTTAAAGGGATTCGGAGGCCGAATGAATAGCACAATTCATCCATTTAAAGGAAAAGAGCTACTGCCACAAAGCGATCGCCACCCCGAATGTAAAGCGGCGTCAGGCTACTGTTTCGTTGCAGGTAGGTGAATATGCCCAAACGATTTTTTCCTCACTTACCTATTTTTAGGAGACGGACGTGCTTCTGAGCAGCCTGCCCTTACAGTAATCCACACCATATTTCTCAGAGAACACAATCGGATCGTTGAAGGTTTACGAAGTATAAACCCGCATTGGGACGCCGAAAAACTCTTCGAACACGCGAGACGCATCGTCATCGCCGAAAATCAACACGTCACCTACAACGAATTTTTACCAAGAATTCTCAGCTGGAACGCCGTTAATTTGTACGGCTTGAAACTTCTACCCCAAGGGTACTACAAGGAATACAACCCAACATGTAACCCCTCCGTTCTTAACGAATTTGCTTGCGCCGCTTTTCGCATCGGTCACTCTCTCCTCCGACCTCACATTCCGCGCCTAAGTCCTTCGTATCAAATAGTGGACCCGCCGATTCTCTTACGCGACGGTTTCTTCAGACCCGACATGATCCTACAGGTACGTTGGAATCTTCGCCTTAATCGGTCGACATTGTACGTTGTTTCAGCCAGGAATGATTGATGAAATCTCGCGTGGTTTGGTGTCCACCCCAATGGAAACCCTCGACCAGTTTATTACCGGTGAGGTAACTAACCACCTGTTTGAAGATAGGAAAATTCCATTTTCCGGCGTTGATCTCATCGCTCTTAACCTACAGCGAGGTATGCACGATGCCAAAAGGGGTGTACTGAGTTAATTTTTCCATTAACAGCTCGGGACCATGGTGTGCCATCGTACAATAACTATCGCGCGTTGTGCAATTTAAAGAGAGCCACCTCATTTGACGATTTGGCTCGGGAAATACCACCGGAGGTGATCGTCAGATTGAAACGGATTTACGCCACCGTTGACGATATCGATCTGTTCCCGGGCGGCATGAGCGAAAGACCTTTGCAAGGTGGACTCGTCGGGCCTACCTTCGCATGCATCATCGCGATTCAGTTTAGACAGTTACGAAAATGTGACCGATTTTGGTAAGCATACGATGAGGGTTTAAAACGGGGACTGTATATGTCGAATTTCTAGGTACGAAAATGAGGACGCAAACGTTCGATTTACTGAAGCCCAACTAGCCGAAATTAGAAAAATATCCTTAGCCCGAATATTCTGCGAGAATTTGGACGTGCCTGGCGAAATGCAGCGGTCCGCTTTTGATTTACCATCCAACTTCCTAAATCCGAGAGTGCCCTGCCATTCACTACCTCACATCGACTTGTCGGCGTGGAGGGAATCAACGGGCCATGGGTGCATCATTGGGGAAAGGCAAGTGGCCGTTGGGGAGTCCGCGTTCCCTTCACCTTGCACGAGTTGCGTTTGCACAACAGAAGGGGTGAGTATCTGAAAACCATCCTTGGGTATGGATTTTTATTCGTCTCTTCTAGGGGCAATGCGCATCGCTTCGGGTCACCGACTGCAACCAATTGATGCGCGAATGGTCACGGGACGTAATCCTAAGGGATGAAGTTTGCACAGCACAGTGCGGATTTCTCCTTCGCAACGGAGAAATTAGTTCACGTCCCGTCAGCTTTACGGACTTAGTGCCACCACCCGCAAGGCAGTTGCGCGCTAGACAATTGGGCGGATCTCATTTTACCTCGAATTTTAATGGATTCAAGTTCCCAGATTTAACCCCATTTGTGATTTAAGTGACCTCAAAAGACTGCGGTAGTGAAAAGACAATAGTTCTGTACAAAGTTATTTTTGTTGTTGACTGTCATAAATTGGTGACGCCGTTGTTTGCTCAGGTTTGAAATTTTAGCTCTTAAGACATCCTATTTAAACGCTCAAAACGTGACATCTTTTCAAAATTCTATCTTTCTATTTAGAAATTAGAATAATTTATTTATATTACTTATGTAAAATACAGTCTGTATAATGTTTATTGTATATACTGCGAAGGTGGACAAAAATACAATTATTATTCGTATTTTTTTTAAATCCGAGGGTCTGGAATTCGTGTTGCCGTTGGAGTGTTTGAAACCCACACCAAAGAGCAAAAGTTTGCGAGGGAGCGAGTGGTTTATTAGACCATTCAGAATTTGTACATATCCATTTCCGCTCTTGTAATTGTAATTATAAACGGACTGATATTAGTACTTTCTTTTTAGTTATTCTCTGGTTATGACAAGCTTTACACTGTCGAAGCGCGTTTTATAATTACAGTTTTTGGTATTTGTCATGTCACTTTATTTGAAAGTGTGAGCAAAGAACAATTTATTCTTTGGGGTTAGCTACTCAATCCATCAAAAACACTGTACAAATACAAATCTGAGCATTTTGGTAAGATTTTCTGTGGTTCTTTGCTGCATCTATCATGTGAGTTTATTATTTCATTTAAAGATGCTTCTTTTGGATCTTTGATCAAGTTATGTTCTGTTTGAGATGCTTCCTTTAGATTTGTAGAAACGTCGCCTTTTAAATATTAAGGTTGTATTTGAAGGGTTTTGATGTTTTCGGCAGCCGAAAAATCTTCTTCTAAGAAAACATCTGCGTTTAGAGGAAATATACCGGTCATCTCGAAGCCTTTTGTGGCTTTTTCAATGGTTGCACCCGTACCAAAAATCGACTACTCCAAAATTTCTCGGGAAAACACTTTTTCTTATTAATTTTGGTGCGTAGAATCCAGACGATTCGTACTTTTTCGATTAGACTTCCCAAACAAAAGTAATAGACTAGAAACCAATTTCGAAAAAAAATTCAAAGGGCTGTAACTCTTGAACTAGTAGCCCAATCTGGGAACTGTTTGAAATTATGGATTCTACAGACCACATTCTATAAGAAAATTTTTTTCCGGGTCCATCTGAGACAATTTTTTCTTCGGGCCTCAAAAAAAGGCAGTGTATAACCTTCCTTTTTTACAAAAAATCGACTGCACCCAAATTTCTCGGGAAAACACTTTTTCTTATTAATTTTGGTGCGTAGAATCCAAAACAATTCGTACTTTTTCGATCAGACTTCTCAATCAAAAGTTATAGACTAGAAACCAATTTCGAAAGAAAATTCAAAGGGCTGTAACTTTTGAACTAGTAGCCCAATCTTGGAACTGTTTGAAATTATGGATTCTACAGGCCACATTCTATAAGAAAATTTTTTTTCCGGGTCGATCTGAGACAATTTTTTTTTCGCGGCTCAAAAAAAGGCAGTGTATAACCTTCCTTTTTTACCAAAAATCGACTACACCAAAATTTCTCGGGAAAACACTTTTTCTTATTAATTTTGGTGCGTAGAATCCAAAACAATTCGTACTTTTTCGATCAGACTTCTCAATCAAAAGTTATAGACTAGAAACCAATTTCGAAAGAAAATTCAAAGGGCTGTAACTTTTGAACTAGTAGCCCAATCTGGGAACTGTGTGAAATTATGGATTCTACAGGCCACATTCTATAAGAACATTTTTTTCCGGGTCGATCTGAGACAATTTTTTTCGCGGGCCTCAAAAAAAGATTGATTGATTGATTGATTTATTGTGCTGAGAGACCGTACAGTCTTTACACTTGTCAGGGTTTGTATATAAATTTAACATAAATAATATAAGACACTATACAGATACACCTACATATAAGAGACAAACAAGACACAATTGCAGAATTAAAATGACACGATTGTAAAAAAAAGAAAATGTAAAATTAAGAGATCAGGTGACTAGACTCAACGAATTCTTCAAGCGAATAAAACACATGTGTCACTAAAAATGATTTTAACCTGTGTCTGAAGTTGTTATACGGTAATTGTCTGACATTTTGGGGCACAGTATTGAACAAGCACTTTGATTTATGAAGTACACCGTTTTGAGTTACAGCAAGGCGAGAAAATTGACGTCTAACGAGATCTTTTCGTCTAGTGTGGTGTTGGTGGACGTTAAATTGTCTTATAAGTTCTCCTTCGTTCTTCTTTGCATAACATAAAGGCAGTGTATAACCTAAGTCTATTGGGTACTCGAGCACAATAAACGTTAATATTATGTAATTTTAAAAAACCTGTGCCAGGTTTTATATTACAAAAAAACTGAGAAAAAAATTTTTTTCGCCAAAACTAAATTAGTTCTAATTAGGAATTACAATTATTAATTATTATATGATGCCTTGTGACATTAAAATAAAAAATAAATAAAATCATTAGACAAGCAAAAAAAAAAGAGAGGTTACCTCGGAGGTTACCAAGCGGTCACCCACGTTTTCAGCGAGGCATTGCCGTTGTTACGAAGTTACTGTTCTAAGGGAACCAATACCAATTGCAGAACATCTAAAAAAAAGCACACGAAAAGGATGCAGAAGCGACACGAATTTCGCGATTTAGCACTTTTTAAAAGATCGTTAAACAATTTTCGCATGCTTGATGAAAAGTGCGTCAAGATCGCAGAGGAAAAATGCGTTGAGTCCTGTGTTAAAAAAAAAGCTGCACAAAACAATAGAACGAATCCAAAACAAAGCAATTCTCAGCTATGTAGCAATAAAAAATTGACCGGAATTAATAATTGTTAACATTGAGTTCTGTAAAAGGTAAATTTCTCCTGTGGGAATTTGAACAATTTAGTCTTTAGTAATAAAACGGCAGATTCAGCAAATTAATATGACTGGTGCCAGTGCATATTAGGCATAAAGGATGCAGGACTGTCAAAAAAGTTTTTGTTGTTAAATATTTGTTTTGAGCTACTGTCTGCCAAGAATTTGGCAACTGGTTTTTTAATAAACAAAACCCCAAGTGTTTTTAAATTGTCTCTACTCAGAAAAACAATCTTTTTGGCTGGTTGGGTAGGTAACCTTTGCTAGTTGATGGGAATTTACCCCATCAGGATAATGAGCAGAGTAAATTGTGGAATATTTTATTCATTTGGTTTTATTCGTTCGTTCGATTCTCTGAGCTTTCTATAACTAATATCATTAAACAATGTAATTAATACCTATACTTTTAACAAAGCTATAACCAATATTGCAATAAACGCTGGAATTGCAATTGTGTTTGCCGATGATTCACAATCCGTCGACTCTGCATTCCTAGTCATGTTTCCTGGACAATCGCAATATCCATTACGGCACACAACATTACGCCCCAAAAACCTGTGACATTGTGCTACAGCGGTACACACATCACCCATTTCTGAGAAAAAAATTCATTTTAAAAAATTGGAGAATACCGCTAAACGGAATTTACTTCGTTGGAAGATGCACTTTCCATGAAGTGGAACAAACTGCTTGTTGCATGTACACTTTGATTGGACACAGTCACTATCAGGAGTGGCCGAGGAGCATTGCTCTTTAATTTGACATTCGGAATCTAACCCGACAACTAAAAGTGAATTTTACTAAAAGGACATTTGGCAGGTTGTTTCTCACGTGGAAGACAAGCTGTCTCTCCGTTAGCTATAAACTCCTCGTTGCAAGTGCACAGATTTTCCGAGTTACATGAGGCATTCGCTATGGTACATTTACTATCTTGCAGACATTGACTTCCTAAATCTAAAATAAAGGAACGCCATTTGTTAGCTGTAACAAACATCCGCACTCACTTGGTACACAGGATTTATCTTCCACGCGATATCCCGGAGCGCACTTGCAGGTACCCGCAATACACTGGGAATTCTTTATTTTGTCACAATCGCTATTATCGACGCAGCCTGAAAAATATCATTGAATCACTGAAAAATGATTCTCAGTAGGTACCTTCGGGGGCTTCGCATACAAAGGCGGCGTTGGGTTTAGGGAACATGGTACACTTGCACTTATGTTGCTCACACTTACTATGAGGGCCGAGTACGTAACACCTCTCATCATTGTTGCAGAACCAATTATCGTGCGTCATTGCTGAACAGAAATGAAATTACCTACGTTTTGTTCCCAACGGAGAATTACTCACGTTTCTGGCACGCGACAGTTCCCGCCAACGTGAAGTAGGTTTTCCAGCAGTAACACTTCCCCGCAACACAGCGACTGTTTGGGATTTCACACTGGCTATCATCCTTGCATCCCACTGCGACTCCAAGCTCTGAAAATCGTCGTTATTGCATTTTTAAAGGGGTTTGAAGGAATACCTGCTACACATTTCTTTTTGTCAGTATTGTAAGTAAACCCTCGTTTGCAATGGCACTTTTTGAAAGCAGGATGACACATGGCATTAGGGACCGTGGTGCATTTATCGCATGGAAGATTAATTTCTGAAATATCAGATTTGAGTACCTAAGCAACGGAATTATCTTAACCTAATCTGTTCACATCAAGATGTTGGATATCTAATTCAAGTGTTCTTCCAGTTACATTCTTCTTTTGGGCAGGTTCTAAACCATTAGCGCACTTTGAGCTTCTGCACACTCCATTTTCAAATCTACAGTCTGAGTTGAGGGAACAATACTCTCCGACCGCTAAAAGAGGTACATAGATGATCATAAAACTACTGAAGCAAAAATATCTCACTGGTAATGGCTGGCCGACAATCAAAATCACCCCGTAGGTAGTAGCCATCGTTACAAACGCATTTGCCTCCCTTGCAAGTCATCGCAAGCAAATCGTACCCGTTGAAACAATCTCGATCTCTTGCGCATTTATTATTTAAGGCAGCTTTTTTGACACATTGGCCCATGGCATAAATCCAACCTTTGGCGCACTCGCATTTCTTGTCGATGCAATCGTAATCGCCTAAGAGCCAACCGCACTGACGCCTGTCCTCGCATACGGCGTGCAGTCCAAGCGAGACTAAAACTCTCTGTAATACCTGAATGCTAAGGCAGAAAGGACACTTACCAGGCAAGCACTTAGTTACGTCTGTCGAAAGGACGGATCCAACGGGACATTTGCACAAATTTTGCTCGCATACGGCCGTTGGGACCTGACAATCTTCATTTTTCGAACATTCTAAAATTTGAGCGGCACAGTTCGTTAGCAATAAACTAGCGAGCATAACCAAAAACATTTTTTTGAACATTACGCTAAGAAAAAGTATGTCCGTATTGATCTCGTAATTTGAGTGGTGTGACGAGATTTCTGAATATCAGCACTCGTCGGATATCGCAACTTGGATTACAATGTGATAAAAATGTTATCTATTTTCAATTTTAGGTAGGAATTCATATGACTTGCCATATCCAAAGATTGGAGCGAAGGGCAATTACTTGGAGCACTCCAGATAACATCACCACCTCGCTATAGAACGCTATAGAAACTGAAGGAGGAGCTATGCATAGTCTGCTATGGTTGTATCCTAGGTTGTATCTGTTTTTGCAGGTTGTGGTCAACCCCTCTATGACTGTATGACCTGCAGTTCTAGTGTTAACAAAAATTACAAAAAGCCCCATAAACCTTGCCTTGATTTTTAATAACTGATGTCCATGTCCATTATCATATTACTTGGACAAATGGTGGAAGTATCATCGGCATAGTGTAAGGGATGGCATAAACGATTGAATTCATTATACACTGCTATTCATTAAGAAGCAGACATAGGAATTTATGTGTATTGTTTTTCCCTATGTCTACTTTTAAATGACAAAATCCCTTCTGAAGGGTGCCTAATTTCATGCAACCAAAATAACTTCTTAAAAAGTAAAGATCTGACTGTCACATTGCATTAATTTGAATATTATTGCTATGGCTTCCGTATTTTCGTTTTTGTGCGATATATTCAACTGAAGAAGAAGTTGGTATTGTCCATTGGTATAGTTCTGGTAACGGTTTAAGGAGTGTAAAGGATTTATTTTCTGTTAAGTGAAACAAGACTATTCAAACCAATTATAATAAAATTAGACTCCCTTCAGAAGAGATTTTGTCACTTATAATTGCACAAGAGGTTTGTATTTTACCGAGTAAATTTGGGTTGTTTAGGTAATGAAAATCTGTTGCCTAGCAATTAGACGAGAAAAACTGTCAACTAATAAAAATGCGACACCGCAGGTGGAGCATTTTTAGGTTGACAGTTTTTCGAGTCCAATTGCTAAAAGGAAACAGATTTGAATTGCCACAACCCAAATTTATTCGGTTTAAATACAAACCTCGAGTGTAATTCGGCAGGACAATTTAACGAACAAGAAATTCACCAAACTAATCAATTATTGACAGACGTCAAACTAGTCATATGGGTAAGGATAATGCGATTATTGGTTCGAAAATGAATAAGTGAAAAAACCACTAGTGCATTTGTCGCTGGAAAAGTTGCAGGTAACTTTTGCCGCTGTCAAAGTGACAATTACACTGCGGCTTATGTGATTTTTTATACATGAGTTGAATTGTCCTTTAAAAGGAAACATAGGGAAAAACAACGCACGTAAATCCCTATATCTACACATACAGCGTCATCTTTTAAATCCTGGTAGCATTCGGCTAGGACTGGACTGTGTTCTGCTATGGCGGTCTCTTATGTGCTAGAATGTGAGACATAGTCAGGAAGGGAATAAGAAAAATGAAATTTATGACGCACGAGGCTTGGTTCTGACTTCTGAGGAACAAATCCAAAGCGAAAAGCCAAAGAAAAAACCAACAAAAAACTGGCATGCATACACAAATAAAGCAATAGATCAACTACGGTAACAAAATGAAAATATCAAACGTATCTAAATTGTACAATGAAAATCAGGTACCTAATCGAGTTAAATGCGGTTAAATAAATTAAAAACGGGTGATTGATATCATAACTACAAATGGAAAACAAGATTGATCGTTTTGGTAAAAAAAAAGCACACCAAACACATCTACGGTTCAATTTAGTTAAAACAACACATAAAATGATAAATTGCATGTACCTAAAGGACATCAAATGGACATGGCGTTGTTCCGACATCGTTCAACATTAATTTAACACACACAAAATGTAAAAGGGAGAATGCCAGCAGTAGAAATGAAGACCATTACACACAGAAACCCGTATATTAAACAGAAGCAAAGTTAAATATATGGTCCCCTTTCTGGTATTGGTAAGACCAAAGAGCTTCAATCCGCACGAGATGAAAAAGAAACATATACGAAAGGTGCAACAGGGCAGGTCCTCTACTCGTTTCCTAGAAATTCCCCGAGATACCGAAAGAAAAAATCGCCTTTTTCATTCAGACTACAGAGGGGAATATAAAAAACCAAGAGCAGGGAACGGGATATGAGACTACGCCACAGTGCTGGGGCGGAGGGCGATAGATCAGCATGTTCAGGAGAGGTGGAATACACGGAAGTAGAGCAAGTGACAAGATATCGTCGTAATGGGAAGAAGGCCCATTCTCGGGGTGATCCCAGATAACAAAATCACATCCTTGTAATAATTAAAGAATATTCTTGGAATATTATAACATTCAGATTTTTCTGCGAATATTCCCTGAATCTGAAATGTTCCTTTTTGAATATTCGAAGGGGAATTTATGGAATATTCCTTGAATGTTTTTGAAACAATCACAAACGTGAGAAGAAATCACAAACGTGAGAAGAATATTCATACATATTTTTAGTATTGATCTTGCAGAATGAATTGTATAGGTAAATTTTCGATTGCATCATGCTGGTCAGTCTTTTGCATTTATAAATTGTATTTCTTCATAATATTCTCGGCTGGTTTTCCGGAAAAATAAATGAAGCAATTGATCGAATTAAGAGACCGGTATATTAGAATGAGATGAATTCTTAGTTGAATATTTGTTTATTATTCACAGAATATTCTGTGACTGAGTTCGATTATTCCTACAATAGTTACATTGAATAATCCTTGATTATTGTCGAAATGATTGAATATTTCGCATAATAAGAGAATATTCCAGGAATAATTGTATAGATTATTCATAGAATAATTAATATAAATATTGTTTAAAAATTTTATAAATAATTGAATATTTTTAGAATATTCAGTATATTGAGAGAATATTCCAAGAATTAAAGTTATCTGGGATGATTGAGGGAAATCAATTTTCACACGTATCTGCAACGTTCCTGATCTGTACGCTGCAGATGCTGTGTACCATGAGGATGGCCATAAACAATTTTTCTCGGTGGGAAAACCAACTAAATCAGCATATGCATGATTAAAACGCATTTTTGATACCTAATACAGCTCTCACTCTGTATTTTATTAGCGACGTTCAAAATTATCAATCTCACGAGTATAATGTTGACTGCGTTAAATAATGAATTTTATTTAATTTCAATTGATGGTACGTCTATATTTTGTAAAACAAATCACAAAAGTATAGTATTTTACATTATTAGCCAGGTAAGTGAGTTTTTACTGGCGATAGGAGAAGTTGACTAGCGAGCCGTTAGGCGAGCTTGTCATCTCCTAGAGCCAGTAAAAACTATTACCTGGCGTATAATGTACAATATTTTATTTGTTACTCATTTGTAAACAATAGTAAACGTAAATAATTAGTTCTTAAATTAATCTTGAAGAAATGTCTAAAATATCATGTTATCCATGTAACAGAGACTTCGCATTAATTCTGGCCAATGAAATTACTAGATTACTAACTTGTAAAATTTTTACAGGTCTGCTGTCAGTTTTACAGGTCTGCTGTCAGTTTTACAAGTCAGTAGCGTTTAAACATGACGTTTACCCGTTTGCGTTTTGTCTTGTTAATCAACGTTTACAACTGAGTAACAAATAAAATAATTAAGTTTTTATACTGGTAGCGCTATCTAACGGTAAAATTATAGCATCTCCGAAAACCATATCGAAATTATTTTCTTAAATTATCGATCTCGCAAGTAATCTATCTCAAAATAGACTAGAGCCTGCACATCTACACTATAGCAGAAAGATTTTAGTAGAAATTTGGTCTTTAGCTATTGTAGTTGCCGAGATCTCACCCGGACAGCCGGCCAGCCAGCCATAACGAATATAATAGCGTATTTTTTTCAAAAATGTAGAGGTAAGGCTACAGGAGGATTATGTCAGTGTGGGAATGGATGAAATATTCCGTTATTTGGAAGAGAAGGACAATGGATGAGTTAAGGAATCAGATCACTGGGCGGTGAGAAACCACAAGTGAAGTGGGTCAGGGGAAACTACATGAAAACTGTGGAGACAAGGTGGTTTTCCGTAAGGTGCGTAAACACAAACGTGACGTCTTGAACGCTGCTTGAGTATGCATCCCGTAATAAAGACGAAGAAGAAGAGAACATTGCTCATTCCATTATTTCAACCGTTCGCCAACGATCCTTTCTTTACCCAATCCTATGGTAGAAGGGGGAAAGTTTGGTGTTCTCGACATGCAATCTTTTTTATCGCGTACCACAAAAGGGCTTGAAGAAGGTTATTATTTCCCATATCTCCCCATGTACTCGTACCAAGCCTTCTAGACGCGTTGTGGATATGTAGTGAATGCGTTTCCCAGGGGATACCTGAATGGAAAGGTTTCAAGACGTCATAAATTCACCACCCAATGATGAAAACACTCAGATATGCAGCGGAAGGCACCGCCCATCTTGCGTTGTTGACTAGCTTCGTAACAATGGATCGGTCGCTCTATTTGAAATCTCGAGACATTACCAGCACTTCTTTGAGCAACATTGAAATGATACCCGGAAGGTTTCATACGCTCACGTCTATTTTGGGATGTATTGGTCTGAAGGAACACTTGGCCTACTCTTTTGCTCCCAATTCAGTAGAAAATATGCTAAATGGTAAAGCTTACAGCAGCGCCGTCAGAGGCCATCTAACTAGAACAGCACAAAAAGGTGCCAGTTTCTCCGCAGACGACAAACGAGCAATTCTGAACATGTTTGAGCCTGGAGAGGCAAAAAGTCAGCTCAAATGCCACCACCCTCACTTGTGTTCAACAAAAACTAAGCCGGTGCGTTTTTTCATGATTACGTTGAAAGTTATACAAAATTTAATAAGCTTTTATTTTTATGAACATCATTTTTTGTTCTAACTGATTTTTCAAGTTATACGTAAAAAAGTGAGGCCCTCAAAACCGTTCTATCCCCCCCTCCCCCCTTAGCATAACCGCGATAATCGGGGGGACTTTACTATATGTTGATTAGGGGAGCGCCCCCTACACAATTCCCAAGGAATTGGTAAAGACATGAATTAGTTTTTCCTATTCTGACTGGGGTAATTAGCTGACACAATGACAAAAGGATTAGGTAAGTCCTAAAGAGAACATTTGAGTTTCTGTGAAATGAAATAAATTTGATTCGTTTAAATTAATTATTTTGGAACATTATGATCGCGATTTGAATTTGTTTCAATAATCCCCATTTTCAAGTTTTACATGGCACCACTATAGCTAGGCAGAATTTGAAGGCCGTCTGGCACACATTCAAGGTATAGATAGACTATACGTATTGCAACAAAATTCCAGCTATCTAGAACAATTCCCTTAAAAGTAGTTAAAAACCGCAGAAGTGGAACCGGACGGACGGACAAAACGCAATAATTAGGATATTAATTATTAATCATTAATATATATAATATGTAATTTTGTTCCTGTTCTTCCTAGAAGGGTGAGCAATTTAAAAATAGGAGGTCAAACACATTGAGGGTAAGATCCATAACACAATTTTAAGAAAATATATCTGGGTAGGCGCACTCGCAGGCGGTAGTTAATTTTATCGTAGTTCAAATATATACTAGTAGTGCAAGTGCATTGTGTTGCACCTGTCTTGTGTTGTGTTTTCTCTTCTTTCAACCACGTTTCATTTCAGTTTTTGTAATTGTAAATACGTTCCTATTCAACTTCTGTACACATTTACCGTAAAAATGGATAGACGAAAAAAGGAAGTTACGAATATTGTAAAGAACTTGCAAGATGAGTGCAATATAACTGTGGAATTGTTGAATAAACTTTTATCTATGGTAAGTTGCAGATAAGACAAGTGAAGTGAATGAAAGTGAATTTCTGAATTACTTTTTAGTGTCGTTCACAAGCGGACATATTTAAAAACCTGGACAAGAAAGACTTTAACTTGGGCACTGGACGTTTTCTAGCGTTCACACAATTTCAAAATGGTATAATACAAAAACTATTACAATTTGATATTACTCTCGAGGAAATGATTGACGACGTGGAAAGACCATGTAATTCAATTGTGGATGTGCAATCGGAGTTAAATTGTTCTACGGAACAAAGTAAATTGTCATTAGAAACGCAACGTGAAATGTCGGATGCTAATACTCAAACAGATTCGTTATACGAAATAAAGTTAGATAGAATCAATGACTTCCTAAATGATATTGGACGAGAGTCGCCTTTGCCTAAGGAAATTGATGATCCCGTTGAAAGTATTCACAAGGATGTTGTGACAGGATCAGTTTCAAGTTCAGAGTACTTTTGCTGTGGGGACGATACAAAAGTAGAAGGCGATGTTAGTAACTGTGTTGAATTGACTGAATCTGCCCCCATAGTGAAATTAGCCGAGGAGGCAACACCTGATTGCCTTGTTGTTGACTACAAAGAAGAGATAATGGACTTTGTCTTAAGTGAAATACGGGAATCTGACCCAGTGGAAGTAAATGATCTTTGCATGATTGGTCACATAGAGTCTCCTACCGAATTTTACATACAAGTGGTTAATGACAGAAGCATGCTACTCGATGAGTAAGTAGGTATCTATTTTTTAGGAGCGTTTTGACCTCGTTTTTTAGTCTCTCATATCTACTAGAATCAACAGTAAGGGACCACGGTCCATTTCCGTGCAAACAAGAAGCTATGGAAAGCTTAGGTAGATACTGCTGTATAGAATTGTGTGATTATTGGTATCGCGTCGAAGTTCTCGATTGGTCGATGGTAAACACCTTTTGGGTTTTTCAAATTTAAATCTCTTCCCAATTTTAGGATCGTGCTGAAGACGAGGTCTTAATTCAGTTGATTGATTTTGGAACAACATATCATCATACATATAAAGATTTACGATCTCTCTGTCAAGATGCGTATCTATTGCCAAGAATGGCGCAATTGTGCCATTTGGAAGGGGTAGGTTGTCAAATTAAAATTTACGTTCTTGATGCCAAAAAAAATATACTTCAGAATCAATCATAATCAACTTTATTTTTTTATATGGCCTGTAAAAAAGGCACATACTGTATGAGTAGCATTTTATTAGCATTACAGCGAGGTATGGGACACAAAAAAAAACAAAAGTTGGAAATTGTTGGTTTCAACAGGATGGTGCACCCCCGCACAACGCCATAATACCTATCGAACACATTTCCTTTAGAAATATGGACACAGTTCGATGGTACAGTTGACTTTCTGACCCGCCCTGGTATCTCAGTCTAACTCAGACCCCCTTAACAATCCCCACACCACGGCCTAACCAACGTTTTATCTCGAAAGTGCACGCATTGTTATCACTTTTACTTCCAGACATACTTTCGTTCACTTTCGCCATGAAGCGGTATATGTGTAAATGTTTAACAAAATAACTAATTCAAACCCAAATTTTGCACGACACTAAGCAGTGGTCAGTGGGAGGATGTATGTCAACGACATCTGTTCTCAATACAGTAGGAAGTTGATTATCCGAACTTTTGGGTCGTGGCAACCGCGCACACTCTCCACAATGCGTTTTTTGATATCGCTAGACATACCCGTTCGCTATGAAGCGGTACACGTGTAAATGTTTTCAGTATAAGATGGTAAATCAACTAGAGACATAGATAAATCTTCGTTGATGATTCCTTATTTTTATAAAGTCTTGAAATGAATTTATTTATCAATGACAATCACAATTTATAACAGCGCGAAGTATTTATTACTTAGAACTGTCTTGAAACGCAATTCGATTTACTTACATAGGAAACACGAGCTATTTCCTGGAAAGTTTGCGTCACATCTGCCTTCGTTCTTTATCGCCGATGTGTAATCCTTTATGGCGCCTCGATTTCTATCGGAATTTCTGGAATATTTGCTACATGATAATTAAAAATCCATACAATACATGAAATAACACCACAAATGATTTATATATATTAAACATATCCAAGCATGTAAAGAAGCATTTATAAAGAACATTTTTCTTTTCTTAATTGGTTTTAATTGAAATCCGCCCAAACTTAACTGTGTTCAAGCTTTTTGCGATGAAGTGTGCAGTTTCTGTTGCAATCAATTTTACCAATTGTAGAGATCATGGGCAGGTCAACCTAACTTTTGAAAAAAAAAACTTAAATAATTCAACGTTGCCATTTTAGAAAGTGATGATTGATTGCCTATGTAGCAGAACATGTGCAAGTATCATTACAGGTGGCATCCTGATAATTTACTACATTTTACCACGAGAGATTCAGACTAACTGAGAATCACTTTCACATGTTTGTTCGGGGTGATGATAGGTTTTGTCTTTATTGCAGGTATATCCAATGATGCCAGATGAAAATGACAAATGGTCAAACGAATCTATTACATTTTTCAGTGATATATGTGGCGATCTAGGCAAGTCAGTCTTTCGCATAACCTACGTTTCTCCCATAGACGAACGGTAAGAGAATTATTTTCCAGTTGACACTAATCCAGCCATGCAAGTTATCTGAAATAGATCCAATATAATGCTCCCTAGGAGAGAATGCCGGTCAGAGAACACGTGATCCTGGTCTACAGTCATATGTTTTTCATATTAAACCCATCGACATATAATAAATGGACTGCGCGTGTCAATGATAAGCGTGGGCACTGCAGGTGAGAGAGAAGGGAAAACTGCAAGGCAAGGGCAAGTTACTTCTTACGATTACGCATCTGATTGGTCCTTTCAATTTAATTTTAATGCGATCGCGATCGCTTCTGTTGAAAGAACCAATCAGACGCGTAACCGTAAGAGACAGCTTGCCCTCTTAGTTTTCCCTTCTCTCTCATCAGCAGTATCCGTGCTTAGAACTGGCCCTTTCAGTCCATTGTCAATCAATGATTAAACCATACGATTGTGGACTGGGATCTAGTGTTCTGTGACCAGGGGGTAAACACCTGGGGAAGTAATTGTACAGAATGAAGGAAGTACGGGGAAGTCCGGGGAAGTTCGAGGAAGTACGGGGCGGGGAAGTATATGGGAAGTACAGAGGGAGTACTCATTTGTTCATAAGATGCGAAATGTGACAGAAGGTGACCGGAGAGGTAAAATCTGGTAAACACTTGAAAAGTAATCCGGCAGTTGTTTCTGAGTGCATAAATCCCGCCTTGTTCGAAAAAAGTCAACACCTATGATTGTGATTATCTATATAGATACCTAAAATCAAAACCTATTTTTTCAATTTAATAACCTTTTTTCCATTTGTAAAGTAAGCTTTCTCATTAGTTGTTCAAAGTAGTTATTAATGTGGTCATTATTAACTAGTAGTCAATAATGAGAACTGTCACGCTGTCGCTTTTAGAAATCACAACCCGAAATTTCGCTCAATTTCAGATAAGTTCTCTAAAATGAATAATCGCCACTATCCGTCATTTTCAGAGAAATTACTCGTACATACTTAAAATTATCACATTTTGAAAAAATTCGAACGAAATTACTTTTTGAAAATATCTCAATGACAGAACAAGATACGACCTTCTTGACTACTACTACTGTTACTACGCACTTAATTGACATGTTAAATTAATAAACAAAAAATTCTGTCCACTGTTCACTTTTTTAATAATATAGATCTGAAAGGAAAATGAAAAATCGCCATTTTTAAAAAAATTCAAATATTTTAGTAACAAATAGAGCTATGGAAAAAAGTTTCAAATAAAAGTTGCAAGAATCGATGGGAAAAATTCAATGGGTGTAAAAAAAATTTTCAAAATGGCGGATTTCCAGATATTGACATGAACTTCCTTATTTTAAATAGACGCCATATTTGATTTTACGTCACTCGATAGAGACAAAAATACAAAACCACTGACGAGACAGTAGGTAAACGACCGAATTTGGTTTCAATCACAATTGGCCATGGAATGATTGCCATAAGAAATACATTGTAAACTTCGAGGCAAAAATGCAAGGTTGATTCCCAAATGAAATACTAAGGGCAACTGGGGTTGAGTGTTTCGTATCACTGGTTTTGTAATTTTTTCTATATCGAGCGACGTAAAAATCCAATATGGCGTCCATTCAAAACAAGGAAGTTGATGTCAATTTCTCGAAAACCGCCATTTTGAAAAAAAAATGTGTACGTCCATTGAATTTATCCGATCGAATCTTTCAACTTTTACTTCAAACTTTTTTCGATAGGTACCTCTTTTTGTTACTAAAATATTTGAACTTTTTTAAAATGGCGATTTTAACATTTTTCCAGTTATCTACGAAACGTTATTTTCTTCAAAATATCGCATTGGAATATCCATCAACATCAAAAGACTTCAAACTTTACCAATTTAACCGAATCTGTAAGTATAATATTAACAAAGATAGCCATGTTATCCTACTCAGTTTAAGACACCCTGCATACACTACGATAGAGAAGTCTACGCACCTTACATCCCTCGGCGCAAGCGCCTTAGGGTGTATTCTTCGTGCTCATCAGGTAATAATAATAAAACCTTATGAGAAATTTTCAAAAATCTTGAATACCTTGAAAACCTTTGATGCTGGGTATAGGGAAATGTGCTATCAAACGACGTAGATTTTCATGTAGATGCCGGAAATACAATATAGGGTGTATTTGCTTTCGATAGATCATGGAAAACTATGTTAGTATGCACATTTTCAGATTTCAATTATTAATGGGAGTCTGAATACTTTTAGGTAACGGTTTACGTGATTACCGATAAATTAGTATTGTTATGTATCCATCTATGAATATTATTATTGTTCGGTACAAATGTTATTATAAAGTTTAGTAAAAAATGCTGACAGGACAATTATTTATGTCTTAATTTCTTTCACTAAAAATTCCTTCAAACCTCATGTAAATACAAAGGTAAATATTAAATAGGTAAGTGTGAAAATAAATAATGATTAATTTTGGGAAAGTACAAGGGAAGTGCTAGGGAAGTACAAGGAAATACTGGGAAGTAAGGGGAAGTAAAGGGAAGTACAGGGAAGTATAGAGAAGTATTGTACAAATTTTAGGTCTGGTCATTACCCCCTGCCTGTGACCGACATTCTCTCCCGGGTAGTCTAGTAGCGCATAACTCGTTAAGTATTCTTTTTAATAAAAAATATGTGTATTTATTCAATATTCATTACCATAGATAGATAGATACCAACATAGAACATAACACTATTCTCAAATAGATATGGTAATTTGCGCACAGATCTCTAATAAATAAGTATGTAGGTATAAATGCATTGTCAATCTGTTTCAGAAATTCTTACGGAGTCCGCCTTACAAGAAACGAGAGACAGCAAAATTTAGATATTCGACAAACTCTTCTGAACAAAAATTTTGCCAGTGCCGCCGACAACCATTCAGTTATCAAAAATAACTTTATTCTTGATCAATTACGATTATGTCATGGTACGGAACATTACGCTTTTAGCTTGAAGTAACCAATCAATTTTTTTGTGTAATTTGAGCCGTATTTCAGTTTCATTTCCTTTTTGAATAAACCATTTTTTCTTACGCTTTGTAATTACCTCAACACAGGCTTGCAAGATCTTCAGGCAGACGCGTCGACGAACGATCTTCTTGAAATGTATTTCAAGCACGTCAAGCTCGTCGAGGCGGGAAATGTCAACGAGGCGGTAATGGGTTACGACCCGCGGGACGAAGCCTTAACTTGCAAGAATTTACGAGCGGACGGCACTTGTTATAAGGGAAATGCCTGTAAATTTCGCCACGTCCCACTTCGAGGTTTGTAAATAGATTCACCCCTGACTTAACGTTAAACTTAACGTGCGCGTTATCTGAAGAAAACGTTTTTTGGCAAATAACATGCACCTTTTAAGTTTGACGTTCCTGATACATCACAGAGCGTCTTATACGGCTAAATTTACAGATGGCTATACCATGGATAAAGTTCCCGTTTATCATAGGGCATATGCTGAGCTGCAAATGCCAGAAGAAAATGAGGAAATCACCTTAAGGATAACCGAAGTCATTAACATACAACGTTTCTACGCACAAATACGGTCTAGCAGTAATACATCTAAATACAGTGAGTACATTATGAACTTTCGAATAAATGCGAACAACACTTTTTAGGATCCACCTTAACTCAGCTTATAAACATAATGAACGAACCAGATACAGCGAAAGCATATAAAAAACTACTCCAACCTCCTGGTCACGGTCAGTTGGTAATAGTCAAACTACCAAATGAAAAATGGTACCGGGGTCAAGTCACCTTCGTGAACATACCCGAGAATGACAACAACGAGATCACAGCTAATGTCTTTGTCGTTGATTTCGGTAGTACTATTGTCGCTAGGATCTCCGACCTAAGAGAAATGCTCAGGGACTTCTTGTACCTCCCCTTTCAAGCGGTCGAGTGTAGGATACATAATATTCGACGTAAGAGCGGGGTCGAAGAGTCAGCTGCTACGAAATACCTCGAAGGTTTATGCTTGGGTTCAATGCACACGGCGAGAGTTATGTAAGTATCATAAACTGAATTACTGTCAATTGCAACGTCGTCTGCAGCTCCAGTACGGTGCAAAGCCATTTGCACGTTCATTTATACACTCAAGACGGTGAAGATGTGAGTGAGATTATTAGCGCTAACGGATACGGCGAACTAGGTACTGAAAGTTACATACCAAATGAAGATGAAAAATATTTGATTGACTAAAATAGCAATTGATTGGTGTTATTAACATAAATAGACAAATGCGAAATGACTATTATTTGTATATGTAATTAAAATATGAATAAATTATTTTTCTCCAGAAGGTGCGTACTTATTGTCAACTACAATGTGGGTGACATGAAATTGTAAGATACGGATACCGTGTAGGTACGCCCTTACAATGTTCTTGTAATAACACTACACATCAGATAAACCTCTCGCCAGGAAAGATTGCCGGTCACAGAACACTTGATCCCGGTCTACACAAAAAGACTTCGTTTAACATTGGCACGATCATATTCCGGAAGTCGCTCGCATCTTAAGAAAAACATAGATTGTAGATCGACACAAGGTGTGCTGTGACCGGCAATCTTTCCTGGCGAGAGTTATAGAAGACTGATGCAGTAAGTAAGTAAAAGTTATAGACTAGAAACCAATTTCGAAAAAAAATTCAAAGGGCTGTAACTTTTGAACTAGTAGCCCAATCTTGAAATTGTTTGAAATTATGGATTTTACAGGCCACATTCTATAATAAAAATTTTTTTCCGGGTCGATCTGAGACAATTTTTTTTCGGGGCTCAAAAAAAGGCAGTGTATAACTTTTCTTTTTTACCAAAAATCGACCAAACCAAAATTTCTCGGGAAAACACTTTTTCTTATTAATTTGGGTGCGTAGAATCCAAATCAATTCGTACTTTTTCGATCAGACTTCTCAATCAAAAGTTATATAGACTAGAAACCAAATTCGAAAAAAAATTCAAAGGGCTGTAACTTTTGAACTAGTAGCCCAATCTTGGAACTGTTTGAAATTATGGTTTCTACAGGCCACATTCTATAAGAAAATTTTTTTCCGGGTCGATCCGAGACAATTTTTTTTTCGGGGCTCAAAAAAAGGCAGTGTATAACCTTCCTTTTTTACCAAAAATCGACTACACCAAAATTTCTCGGGAAAACACTTTTTCTTATTAATTTTGGTGCGTAGAATCCAAATCAATTCGTACTTTTTCGATCAGACTTCTCAATCAAAAGTTATAGACTAGAAACCAATTTCGAAAAAAAATTCAAAGGGCTGTAACTTTTGAACTAGTAGCCCAATCTTGGAACTGTTTGAAATTATGGATTCTACAGGCCACATTCTATAAGAAAATTTTTTTCCGGGTCGATCTGAGACAATTTTTTTTCGGGCCTCAAAAAAAAGGCAGTGTACAACCTTCCTTTTTTACCAAAAATCGACTGCACCAAAATTTCTCGGGAAAACACTTTTTCTTATTAATTTTGGTGCGTAGAATCCAAAACAATTCGTACTTTTTCGATCAGACTTCTCAATCAAAAGTTATAGACTAGAAACCAATTTCGAAAGAAAATTCAAAGGGCTGTAACTTTTGAACTAGTAGCCCAATCTTGGAACTGTTTGAAATTATGGATTCTACAGGCCACATTCTATAAGAAAATTTTTTTCCGGGTCGATCTGAGACAATTTTTTTTCGGGGCTCAAAAAAAGGCAGTGTATAACCTTCCTTTTTTACCAAAAATCGACTGCACCAAAATTTCTCGGGAAAACACTTTTTCTTATTAATTTTGGTGCGTAGAATCCAAAACAATTCGTACTTTTTCGATCAGACTTCTCAATCAAAAGTTATAGACTAGAAACCAATTTCGAAAGAAAATTCAAAGGGCTGTAACTTTTGAACTAGTAGCCCAATCTTGAAACTGTTTGAAATTATGGATTCTACAGGCCACATTCTATAAGAAATTTTTTTTTCCGGGTCGATCTGAGCCAATTTTTTTTTCGGGGCTCAAAAAAAGGCAGTGTACCTATAAGTGATGCGGATTAAGACAGCTATCAAAGGGATCAAGGTTAATGGATTGAATGCGAGTAGGCTAGTTTACGGAACCACTAATCGCTCCAATGTACTTTACCCTAACCTAGATTGCACAAGAAAAGATACAAAAGAGTTAAGGAGCAGAACATAGTGCCATGTGCAATGGCAAATCACTAAACTACCCACCATACCCCTATCCAGCTAGCTTAAACCAAAACAATGTTCAAATTTAGAATTGTAATTATTATCATCGTGGACGTTCAGCTCCTGTCAGAATGAAGAATCTCAATGTTAACTTGAAATTAATAAAATTTGGGCGAATTTACACAAATTTTCATTAGCATCCGACGCACGAAAAGAGAAATCTTTCATGAAAACTATCCGGGTCGAACAATAGGTTCAATTATGATTAAACACATTTAACACAAAGTCTTAATCCGCAAAACATAAAAAAATTGAAACAACCATGCCGGAAGAAAGAAAAGCATTCAGAGCTTGTTTACATATACCACGCAGGCAGACGTTCGACACAATTAAATTAAAAAATCTTAATTAAAAACTGTGCACCAATATTTCTTACTTTTGGCATCTTTGTTTTTAATAGCGGTTATAAAAGCAACGCTCCGTAAATGTTTGTTGTTAATTTGGGTTATTTAATGCAGGTTATCATCTATTTGAGTTCACTGGTCTGGTAGGCGACATTTTATATTTTTTTATAATTTTCTATCTTTGTTTATGAAATTGACTTTTGATTTAACTTCAATGCAGAATCACATATTTGATACCTACCCAATGTTTCGATTGCATGATCTTGGTCCCAATTTAGAATTTATTATATTTTTGATTATTCTTTTAAACACGTGGAAATTATCGAATTGTTTGAAGTTTGAGGTAAGTATGTATATTGAAGAACATGGTCACGAGGGTTGTAAATAATTGTAACCACATTTGAGTTACGACACCCTATGCCGGGGGACTGTTTTCGAAACTCAACTTTAGGGTGGGGAACTCCCGCAATGAGGGTTCATGCTACCTGTCTGGGGGGCGAGACTCTGCTAACACAAAAAGTTTTCGGTTTCGATTTATATGAGTTGCGATTCGTTATTTTTCACATGTTCTGTACCTTAAAACGTTGAGTTCGCCCTCCAAAGCCATGTAATTCACCATCTTGCTTTTAACATCTACCTTTTTTTTTGTTATCTACTTGTACCCCAACCAGTTTCTTTGTTTTGCAACTTACTTTCGACCTGTTTTGCTATCTTGTTTGTGTATGAGATTGATATTTGCAACAAGTTATCTTATAAACATTGATAACAGTTTCACTCTTGTTCATTCGAGATTATTATGATTGTTAAAATAACTGATCAAAATACGAACTATAGGTACTACTACGCCATTATATATTGTTTTATTTTGTGTTTTTTTTTACAACTAACGTAAGAGGGGGCCTGCCTTAGATGTTTGATCACTTTTTTTAGAGTTTACCAGAGTTCTAAAGCATTTTGAATTGAAACCTTTGGACGATGTCAACTGTCATGGATTTAGTGCACCCCCACAATTAGATTCCACATAACCATATAGACTTAAGAATTGCGTTATTGGCTGCTATCGGATCATCGCCGACCTACGTCGTCTGCAAATGAAGCTATCTTGGTAGGGTTAGTTTCTGGTAAGTCTGCAGTGTATATAAGAAAGAGAAGTGGTCCCAAGACGCTACCCTGAGGGAGTCCAGATGCAATAGGAAAAAAATTGGATGCTTCTCAGATGGAAAAAATGCGACGAGCGGAATTTTGTTTTTCCTTTATTAAAAACAAATGCGCCTCTATAGATAATATTTTGGAATTCCATATCCTTACTAAGTATTTGGCACATAACACAATGTATTTTATGACGTAATTCGTAACCAAAGGCCTCTATAACATTTTGCCCTGCCTCAACTTTGCTTCTTGTTGTCTAATTATCGAAATATGAGTAACCGAAGCCATCTTAGGAACAATAATGAGTCGTTTTCTTTAGTGAGCAATATGGGAAAAGGAACCTTTGCGGTTCTTTTTAGATAACAATTACTAGACTATTTATCTTTATATTTTGACTACAATTCCGGTCAAAAGCGTTTTTTTTAGTTGTGGAATTGTAAAACTTTTCGATTATATGGATTTGATTTTTGCAATTCAAAAATTCTGTTGCAATGAAATTGTTTTGTAAAAGGCTTTGCCCAGACTTTTTAGGTAGACACGGAAGTGAATGAACGCGTGTGTTTTAAATTGAAGTTTGTGAATTGCTGCAATAAACTGAGGGACGCTGAACAGGATTAGGGTATTTAATAAACAATTGTTTATTCAATGATTACGGGTAGAGATAAGGTAAGAGAGTAGCTTATAGATAGTTGCAATAACATTAACAAGAGATAGCGTAGTTTAGCATTGCTAAAGTAAATCAAGGTAATCGCTTTTGCTAAAGGTTAGAGGAGAGTATAGAAAGCGAATTAAATAGTGGACGATTTCGGTATGCTCGCCTGGGTTGTTTTTATTTACATATTGAAGAGAGAGCATTTTGAACTGGATGAAAAAGAGAGTAGGTAGATATGTGCTCAGCGAAAAGTGGCAAAAAATTCCCGTTGTGTCCAAAGAGAAAGCAGGCCGTCTTGTGTAAATTTTAATTCATTGGCGTTTGACCCAAAGTTAAATTTATAAATTTTGATCATTAATTTACTTGTCGAATTGTGTGTATGTCTACTGATTTTTGGTTGGCTTTTCGCCTTGAAGGGACAATGACGGGGATGGTAGATAACTGTAACCGAATCAGTTACGACACCTAATGCCGGGACTGATCTCGAATCTCAACTGTAGGCTTGGATACCCCGGACGAGGGACCAGTTACCTATTCCAGGAGTGGACTTTTGCTAACAAAGACTCTTCGGTTTCGAACCTTTATGCGATATCAGTTGCGATCCACATATAGTTTGGTATTAACGTTGCATTTATCCTCTAAGTCCATGTAACTTTAAATGCCGTTTTTAACAAATGATGATTTTATTGTGCCAAAGATGAGTCACATCCTGTACTCTTCACTCTAGCCCAGAATTTTGTTTATCTGATTACCTAGACTATTGTTCCCTAACCTTGTTTTTAACCTTGCCTCATGCCGGCAACCAACTTTGTGTATTTTTTACGGTTACTTTAGTTAGTAACATTAAGTAATACCTAGACAAAGTTTTGGCCATTTCGGTGTTTTATTTTGCGTTCCTTTCCTACTGTACTTAACGTTGTTTACAACTAACGTAAGTGGGCTCTGTCTTAGACTTTCGATCACGTGCCACTTTTCCATTTTAAATTTAAGCGGGATCCGGTTAGCTTTTGGAGGGAATAGCATTTTTAGACGTTGCCGCTTTGATTTGATTTCCACGTGAAGTTATCGTAGAGCCTGGGGATTACGTACATTACAAATGGAAAAAGGACAAGAGAGAGAAGGCACGGGGCAATGGTTGAAAGAAAAACTTACACGTAAAAGAGACGAAAACGACTAAAATAGAGGGGAATAATTGCGGAACTAACATGGAAAATGGAGAGGAAAGTTATGAGAGATAAGGCGAAGTTAAAGAGAAACAAGATGTAGGTACATAGACGACGAGTTGGTTTATGAAGAAAGAAGGGTACAGAGAGAGATTATAGAGGAGGGAGAAAGGGGGAAGGACAAGCAAGTAAGGTGGGGGAAAAGGTGAAGTTTGGAAGGAGATTTTAGCAGTAAAAAACAAGGCAGAGGGGGATGGAAGGAGACAAAAACGACCAACAGGAGAAAGGAACAAAACGGAATGAAAACGATGAGTATCACGAAGATGATGTTCTGGAATGTGGCCAAGATGTACAATTCTGGGAGTTTGTAAGAGGAAATAAGAATAGTGGATAGTGGAATCATGAATGAAAACCTGGGAGAAAATAAAGAATAGAATACCAAGGAAATGCATATAGTGCGAATGCGGATAACATACAGAGAAGATCAAAAGGAGGCATATTAACAATTAAAGGGGAGGAAGGCATGCAGAAAAGACGAGTGGAGAGGAAGATAATGAGAGTGATACCTCTATATAACACAGAAGAAAAGAAAGGGAGAAAAATATAAAATAGACAATACTTTAGGGGTCCCCGAGCCTGCACTGCAACTGTGAAATGCGCTATACTTATAGCACAGCTTATAGGCAGTTGGCAACTCTTGGCAAAAGTACAGTGACTTTATGCGAGACAGGGCGGCGGCAACAATAGAATGTCTAATTTTTTGATCAGCGGTCATGTTGCATCGAGTTTCTGCTACATGTAATTGTTTTTGTGTATTGCCTGTTGCCTACAGTACAATTGGATTGATACCCGATGATTTTTAATTTGAATGTTCGATGCAACATGGCGGCTGGGTGGAGCTTTGAGTCGCAATTGTCTCGTATAAAGTCGCTGTAGGGAAAAATTACAAGCAGAGCCATCTAACTTTCATGTCGAACGACAAAAACAAATAAAATATTACGTCCACATAAAATAACTCCAAGAAAAAACCTTCATTGGACAAAAAGAACCTGGAATAGCACAAATATAAGGAATGACAAATCAACTACGACAACAAACTGCAAAAAAATTACACAAATCAAACAAAAATCAGGTATCGAATCAAATGCCTTTATAGTTATTAATGATACTAGTTCAATATGAATACTATAATGAAACGCGTGTAACGAGTATAGAAGAGAGAAGAAAGGAAATGCAAATTATGTGGAGAGAAAGATATTCATCATTTAGTATGGGAATGTAAACAAGTAGAAAGAACAAGGCAAAGCAGGAGAGAAATACTTGACGAGGGGGAAAGAAGAGAAAAATGGATGAAGGAGATAATAGGAAAAAGGGAAGAAATGCAGAAAGTATGATTTGCCAAATGGCGTAAATAAAATATCTATCTATATAGGGCTTTAGCGAATCTCGGCCTTAAATAAATTATTAACGATCCTCGAGATCGTTTATAATTTCGTATTGCTGTCTGTCTGTCCGTGTGCACGATAACTTTGTGTATAAACGTCCGATCGCGCTTTGAAATTTGATACACATGTTCTTCAGGATATAAGAAAGGTCTCTATTGTTTTTCGGCTACGTAGACTAACGGACCAAAAGGTTACAGCCCAAAGCTGCCCAAACGTCCCAAAAAGGACTTCTTTTATAACTCATGTTACAAAGAACATATGAATGTCCGGTTTTATGTGTTAGTAAATATTCCTTAAACCTCAGAAGACTAAGCAGATTCAAAAAAAAATATTGCGCATGCGCATTCTTACTTTTGTATTTGCGCAATCCCAATTTTTTTATTTGTTAAGATATTTATATGAAATAGTAGACACTTCGAATAAAAATACTCATTTTGTACTCATTTGTACCGTAAGCAAAAAATTTTGTACCATTACCTTTTAACCGCCACTATCAAATTAATTTTGGAGGTGTAACTTAACGGTACAACCCCGAGTATACAATCTCATGCAAATTTTCGCGCCATAATTTTGTACTCATTTTGTACTAATTTGTACTGTAAGTAACTAATTTTCTACCAGTACTTTTTGACAGCTAGGATCAAATATATGTTAACGTTACTATCTCGTATATGTACCTACATTCATAAAATTCTTGTCCCTTGATTTTGTACTCATTTTGCATTAAATTTGTACCACTGAGTTCCATCCACTAGTATCCAATCTATATTGGGGTCACAATTTTGTTCCATGATTATGCACTAATATAATGTATCGTTATAAGGAAATTATTTTGTCCCTTTTTTCAATTTTTCTTAGGTACTCGTAGTAGTATTATAACTCTGAATCCGTCCGTGTTGGGGGTAGGGTTCTCAGCACGTAGAACATTGCCGATATGTTTTAGCGACTTTTTTAAGAATTAAAAAAAATGTGCTATTATTTGTGTTTTGTCCGTTCGTCCGTCCGGACCCACTTTTGTCGTTTTGAACTACTTACTTTGAACTACGACGGCCATTAAATTTTACTGTCTTAAAGGGAGGGCTCCGAAACGTGCATCACTGTTACATAGCAACCAATTGGTGTAAGATGTTTCATACGCATTCCATTAGTGGTGCCAAGTAAAACTTTTGAAAATGTGTGTGTGTGGGGGGGGGAGGGGGGGAGGGCAAACACCACGTTCTACCCTTCATGGTATTCCAACGAAAGGTCTCATCGAAATAAATTGGTTTGTACAAACTATAACTTTCCTGCGCGACTCTTTTTTGAAGATGCGTGATGATTTCCCTAGCCAGCTTGACGATCAAAAATGCTTCATCCACATAGCTTTTATATAGGTCGCTTTCGCAATACGCTGAACAGGTAATCTGAAGAAGTGCATCAAAGGCACACGTATTGGCCAGTATTACTCTTTCGCCGTTCACATGTAGGGGACGAAGTGAATCCTTGTTGCCGTTTTTTAACAACCCAATTGGTAACACAGGTTTTAACTGGCTCAAGTCCTTTCTTAACCATTCCGAATTTTGTGTTAAATACGATTTATATTTCGCTCTTTGTACATCTGCCAAACCCCGCCCGTTTTCTACCTCCTTCATGTCACATGCTCTTCTTCGAACTGGATTATCTACCTCAGGATTTTCACTTTCGTTTTCCTTTTCATCACCACCAGGAAAGTGTAAAATGAAAATTAAAAGCAGACATGTAATACGTATTAATTTTTTTCGAAAATGTAACCATTTCTTCAATAGAGAGTCTTTGTTACGTGTTTTTTTGTCCATATTCACATAGGCAATAATTTACCCCAATAAAGCTGTCAAACGGCTTATAGGGTAAGTTAACCACCCGTGTCTATCAAGTCGCGCTGATATTAATTAATATTCAATCATCAGTCAATGCGAATAGCCTAATAAATGTAAAACCTTTTCTCTAAGGGTTCTATATGTATTTTTTTACACTTTGGGGGCAGATTTCACCCTATGAGGTGGGTCAGTTAGTGAATGCCAATTTTTTGAAGAGACTAAGGCTAAATTCAAATGTGAAATTCTTTTGCAAAAGGTGGCGGCAATTTTTTATTGTTTTATATTGCTCCTTTCGAATAGAGAGAGATCTAAGATGAATTTTAGTTTAGCTGCTGGAAAATGGCTGCCATGCGAAGTGCATTCGCAAATTTGTTTTTTATGGTAAACGAGCCACTGGTCGTTCGTTCGTTTTCGGCATTTTGGCTGCTATATTCTGAGTGCTAATTTCACACGAGTGTTTTACCGATTTATGAAACACTGGACATTAACCAATACATTTCTTTAAACCAGAATTTAACTTCCGAAGTTAACTTCAGTTTAAACCAGCAATGACCAACTGAGCCCAAATGTTAAAATAGGTAGTAAAAAATACCATCGTACCTTATTTTGTTGCCCACGATTCCGATTACACATCTCGCAGTTCCAATTTCAAATGTGTACACACAAATTAAATAACGTATTATGATCAATATTTAAAATTCAAAGATAAATCAATAAAAATGTTTCAAAACTCACTCGTGATCACGGGCAAATGTAGACCATATATTAGCAGCTATCAATAAACGAACACCCAAAGTCTCTAGCTGGCCCAGGGGCCGAGATTTCAATGGAACAGACAGACAGACAGGCGACGGAAAATCGAGCACATAAACGTTACCTCAACTTCGTTAAACGCTACAAATACCAAATGAGAAAATCGAGAGTAGGTACATAGGTACTGAAGATGCAAAGTAACAATTGAGTCTGTATAACAAAAGTTTTATACCAATTTATACTGAAAATAAATACCCTCGTAAATAGCTAAATACCTATATTAGGTACATCATCTTTATAGTCCATTGGAAAACGTGTGTTACGCATTATCTACGTAATTAACTGTTTGCCTGTCTGTCTATTTGTCTGTCTGTTGCAACCACAACATATATACATTTGGTCCTAGCGATTAAAAAGTAGTGGTACAAAACTAGTTGCTTTCGGCACAAATTGGTACAAAATGAGTACAAAACTATGGCACGAAAATTTGTAAGAATTTGTATATTCGGGGTTGTACCGTTAAGTTGCACCTCCAAAATTAATTTGATTGTAACGGTTAAAAGCTAATGATACAAAAATTTTTTGTACAAATTAGTACAAAATTATGGCACACAAAATTTTAAGAATCTGTACACTTGGGGGCGTAGCATTAAGTTGCAACCCCAATGTAGATTTAGTCCTAGTTGTTAAAAGGTAGTGGTACAAACGTTCTTATTTACGGTGCAAATTAGTACAAAATGAGTACAAAATTCTGGCACAAAAATTTTTAAGAATGTGAATACTTGGGGCTGTGGCGTTAAATTACAACCCCAATGTAGATTTGGTCCTAACGATTAAAATGTAGTGGTATCCGCGGTACAAATAAGTACAAAATTAGTACAAAATAACAGTATTAATAGATTTGCTAATGTTTTTAGTGGGGGTTGCAACTTAAGGCTCATAGCTCTGAATCCGTAACCAGTTGAGATATACTCAGTGTCTCGAAAATATTAAAAAACACAATTTTATGACATAAAACGACATTTTTAATTGACAAGACATACAATAAATATTCACAGAGTCACTACAAAGGTAATGAGAGTATTCTTGATTTCAACACTTAGTTCGTCTAATTGTACATTACAGCAACTCTGGCACACTTTACACTAATTCAAGCGTCTGGCATGTATAGCTGTTTCCGTGTTATTGTATTTTAGATTACGTTTAATGGGATTGTACGTACTCTCTTCACATGTTTTAATGTTTTATTATTTCTGCTATTTTCTATTACTATCACTTGGTGTTTTTTAGGCTAATCGTGATTTTGGAAAATGCGATGATGACTTTTTGATCTACTACCATCGTCTAATATTTTTTCTATTATTGATATTGATATTGGTATGGTCTTCACTGCTATAAGTATGTATTTGCATGATTTCTGGTACTATAAAATATATATTGATCACTCTGAAAAGAAATCATTAATTTTTAAACAAAAAGTTCCTATAATAAACCTTGACAAAAGTGGGAGAAAGGCATGAGCTTTATTTTTCTAATAATCGAATAGCGAATCGAATAACGAATCGATAACTTCCTAGGCTTAAACGATCCCCTGTGTCAGGATTAAAGAACTAGGTGACGAAATTTAGATGAGGGTTACGAATAATAATATAAAAAACAGAAGAGGTGGTTGTTTGACCAAGGTACTGATTTTTTGTACCTTCAGCATCTTTGCTTAATTCAAGAAGAAATGACTATTTTTTTCGGTAATGTTTCTTCGCCGCATTATAAGTTAATTCTGCAGTTTGCTCGATTTCTAATTTAAAATTGTGTAATTTTTGTACAAAAAGAACGTATAATGTGACTTATTTACATGTGGTCATGGTTGTCAGTGTTCCCAGGGTCGGGCCGCGTGGCAGGAGCGCCAAGGGGGAAGGCGCTGCTCGCTCTCCGAAGAGGCGCACCAACACCGCCTCAAACAGGTTGAAGCTCATCATCGATGGATGAAAAGGAATAGAGTAAGATAAAATCTAACTTATCCCAAAAAGCATGTACATTGCCGGGACGCTACAATAAACAGATCCTTAAGTGACCGGAGCTTGCATGAGGGACGCGATCGGCTTTGCTTGAATTCCTCCTCCCTAAGCGCCAGGACGAGGCAAGGACGAGAATTAATCGCCGCAATCTCCAAAATTGGTTCTGGCGTCAATTTAGTTAAAACCCAAAGCGCGTTTCACACGAAAAACGAATGGGTTAAATCTAAGGGGGTTAGTCGCTGCACCTGCCCATTGCCGCGCTTTAATTTCTAATGGCTTTTGCTACGCTCGTTCATGTAACTAACCTGTTGCGTGTGAAATGCAATTAATATCTTCTCTTTATAAATTCTGTTGTAGTATATTGTGGCGTCACCCCTTATTTATAACGGCACCAACCCTCGCATGATGTAGGTATGCTTTACGGCCTTGTGTAATATGTGACCTACACCATCAACATTTCCTTTGCACTGCATGATGTACTTTTTTAATCATTAATCTTGTTTCCTACGCTTCATTGCACGAGGGAGAACTTGCTCAGATAAAACGTGCAGGTGTAACAGAGATTAATTAATGGAGGATTTAGAATGAAATTTCATTACCTATTTACAACTAGAAATCTAAACAAAAATGAATTATTCTAGAAGTTAGGCATACCTACACCAAGTAGGATCTCTGAAAACAAGAATTGAATTTCAGAAGAGGGTGTATTTCATTTTCCAAACTAAGATTTAAAAACGGAGCAGAAGATAAAGGACTAATGGAAGAAATAAGCCCTAACAGCACCATAACACCTCATTTAAACTAGGAGCTCCTCCAAACTACAGACTTATTAAGTCCAAGGATATCACTGCGTCTAGATTTTTGACAGGATTGTAAGGGATTAATCTGCGCGTAGGGATTACCTGTATTTAAATGATAAACCATTAAGTTAAACATAATTATTATCTCAGATTTAGAAAATTGTCCGCTCTCCATGATATAAACTTTAGAGAGGCTAGGAGTAGGTTAAAGCGATTGACTAGGGCTGCCTATGTGAATTACTTATATGAAACAGAGCAAAATATTAATACCAACATAAATCATTTCTGGACTTACGTTAAGCAGCAAAGGAAATCGGATTGTAACATACTTTCTGTTACTCCAGACTCCTTTGGCCAGTATTTTAACTTGGTCTATTGCAATGATAAAAGCATTTATGCAACCAACTTTCCGAATGACCGTAAAGTTATCTCGAACGATATGTTCACAATAAATAAAATTACAGCAGAAGACTACAGAAATGCTATTAAAAAATTAAAACCAAAAAAAGTAGCGGGTAATGACATGTTTCCTCCATATATAGTACGAGGTTGTTCAGAATGGCTCGAAAAACCACTACTTCATATATACAATCTAGCAATTAAGACGAAAACCTTTCCCGATATATGGAAGGAATCGATTGTCGTACCAATTCACAAATCCGGGAATAAGAAATTGGTTGAAAACTACCGACCTATAGCAATACTTTCAGCGCCCGCTAAACTTTTTGAACTAATATTGCACACAAAACTGTTTATCCATATAAAACCTTCATTAGATGATTCCCAACACGGGTTCGTGTCCCAGAAATCTACTTTCACAAACCTATTAACTTTTACTAATCACGTCCAGGAATCTCTAGACTCCAAACAACAAGTTGACGTGATCTATACAGATTTTACCAAAGCTTTCGACAAAGTGGATCACGATTTGTTACTGGGAAAACTGTATTTACATGGACTAACTCTCCATTGGCTAAATTTTTTTGCTTCAAATCTAAAAAATCGCACCTTCAAAGTAAAATTTGATGGTAATACTTCAGGAAAGTTTGAGGCCAATTCAGGTGTACCTCAAGGGTCCAACCTAGGACCACTGTTGTTTTTGATCTTTATTAACGATTTGCGTATGTCCATAATTACCTCAAACTCACTTATGTTCGCAGATGACTTAAAAATCTATTCTGAGCTTGTCTCTGTTGAGGATTGTAACCTCCTTCAAAAGGACATAGACCGTCTACTTAAGTGGAGCCTTAACAATAAACTTCCACTAAATATCTCCAAATGCCTAGTTTTATCTATATTTGCAGAGAATCATTTATAAGATTCGATCTTACGACATGTTGGAACAGAGAACTAAAACGAGTGGACAAAAAAAAATCTATCAAGACCTTGCGGTTGTTGTGTATAATTCTTGTTAACGCCGTATTATTATATTTTATAATATATAATATATAAACTAGATGGAGTAAGTGTGGCTTTATTAATGTTAATGCAATTTGAATGTGATGAGTGGGGGCAAAAGAGAAAAATTTCCCACATTCGAAAAGCTGCATCGAATCGTGTTTGTTTTGAAGCAATATACTTTCCAAGTTTGAAAATCAATCCATTTTTTTCTTGTTTTTTTTTTGTAAACTCGATAGTGCTGGACGAATTCAACCCTTCCTTATTGTCACCCCTTGATCTCCTTATTCCCCCCCGTGCATTGTAGTGGTCGCCCAGCACCGACTGAATTGTAAGTATATTTATATTTTTCCATATATTTTGTGTTTTGAATTTATCAAAAAATTATACAATTTCTTTCTGCAACTTTATAAACACTGAAAAAACTTGCTACTCAGCGCTGTACATAAAAAGTTTTTGGGTTTTTTGCTTCTAGACAATGCTGCTCATTTAAATGCAGATTCGTAAGTTACAATCTTTGTACTCTCACGGCTGGTCGACCCCAGGCTAGAGTAGATGCATCCGTAGTTTTGGCATCCAGCATACACTTAACCAAATAAAACGCATCGAAAAAGTTCAAATAGTTCTAAGATTTCCCTACTGATGTATTTTAAAAAAAAATAACACCTACCCCGGAATTTAATGTTAAGATCTGCAGATCTAGGGCATGATTTGAAATACAAAGTTTGCTCATCGCAAGAAAGCCATAGCTTTGGTATAGTTGGTCAAAACTATGGAATAATCTAGTGGACCAAAGCTATCTGCTATCCTTAATGACTCTTAAAGTTCCTAATCGGACGACACGTTCAACTGATATGTTTCACATTCCGACGACTACTTTTCGCTTCCACTCACCCCTCTTAGCTATGTTGCGTTTGTTGAATCAGTTGCTAACGTCAATTATTGATCTTGATTTGTCGTTGCCGTTTAAAAACTTATCGTCTACTATTCGTCTAATTAAAACTCCTTGGGACTCTGCAATATAGTGACATACAATAGTACAGTTTGATTTTAGGCTTTCTCAATTGTTTAAGTTAGTTTACATTTCATGTAATTAGGCGTACGCCTGTTTGGAATGAATAAATAAATAAATAAATAAATAATTTCCGACTAGAAATTTTGGCGTAATAAGCTTTCTCGCAATCTGAAAATCTTCGCCCCGCTTTTTTTTAACCTTCAGAGTACTCGCACCCACAGAATATTCAGAAATGAGTTTAGTGCGGTTGTGAAACACCACCACTCTCCCGGGGAACCAACTAAAACGGAGATTAATTGTGAACTTTCTAGACAACACTCAATTCTTTTTAAATAAGTTTCTTGTGGGTCATGTGAAATACATGCAAGACAAAACGGCTTTATCTGCCTATAGGTTGAGCTCTTTAAGAATTATTTATAAATCGCAATATTTCTTAATTCACTTTTAAACATCAATTTAGTTTAAAATTAAGATGATTTTAAATATGCAAACCTTTAATTTTACATAAATGAAAAAATGGTACCCCATATACGACGACTTTTTTGCGGCAATTGGAAATTTTATTGAACTTTGCAATGAAATTTCTCGGAACGCTGTCTTTTCTGGTGTATCCTTGTATTATATAATAAAATAATTACGAACAAACCACCATTTTATTATTACAACTGTTGGGGGTTAACGAGTTTGAGCAAAAAATTGAAAACACTTTGTTTGGTTATCACAAGTACGGAAAACTTCTGCTATCCTTAATGACTCTTAAAGTTCCTAATCGGACGACACGTTCAACTGATATGTTTCACATTCCGACGACTACTTTTCGCTTCCACTCACCCCTCTTAGCTATGTTGCGTTTGTTGAATCAGTTGCTAACGTCAATTATTGATCTTGATTTGTCGTTGCCGTTTAAAAACTTATCGTCTACTATTCGTCTAATTAAAACTCCTTGGGACTCTGCAATATAGTGACATACAATAGTACAGTTTGATTTTAGGCTTTCTCAATTGTTTAAGTTAGTTTACATTTCATGTAATTAGGCGTACGCCTGTTTGGAATGAATAAATAAATAAATAAATAAATAATTTTTTATAACCTAACTTCATAGTACTGTCATGTTTTATAAAAATATATACAGATATCTCCAAACAGGTGGAACATTCCCTAACATTAAAGTTACTAGACTCTGGTAACTTCCGCCATTTTTGGGCAAAAATCATGCGTTCTCTCTCTAACACACGAGCCCAATGGATTGCGGTACTTTCTATATTTAGTGACTTTAATGTAATTCTTCTTCTTATAACCATATTTATATCGACCCGGTTTAATCCATTCCTTTCATTGTAAAATCTCTCAACCCCATTTCGTTGTTTTAAATGTAAGAAATTTGGTCATCTCTCTTCCGAAAGAACAACATTTTAAAAATTGAGATGTAGCAAAAGAAAACAAAGTGCTTCTTGTAAAGGAATTGTCAAATAAACTTTCGTTTGATTTAAATGGCACGACAACATCGCTAACTGCCTAACACAAATTGCTCCCATAAATTACAATGTGAGTTGTGTATTTGCATTTCTTTCGCAATTTTCGGCGAAGCCATTACAGACATCTGACAATCTAGATTTCGCATCGAGGAGTAATAAAAGCGTCCTTCCGTATTACGTACCGCGACGTCGAATAGAAATGAATGAAGGAGGAAACTAATATGTAGAATTCTTTTGACAAGTTCGAGCAATAAGGGCGGAAAATTATAACCGAAAATCGGAAATTGGATTTTT